TGGCCTTCCAGGTGCAGATCCTCAATACGGACAAGCATGAGACATTGCCGTGGGCTCTGGGCCTCTGGCTGGGCTGGTGGAGGACACTGCCTTGGACTCTAAGCCTTTAGCTGGACTTGTGTGGGAAACTGCTGGGATCCAAGCCCTCAGCCGAGTCCTTTGGGCTTCTAGTCTGCGGTTAATCTCCCTTGTACTCCTTTGCATTTGACTCTTTAGGTAATTATAATAAAATAATCTTAGAAATTATGCGTCCTGTAAATCCTGCTGACTACAACAGCTCGTGAAGGGCAAGATAAAGCATTCTCGAATTAGGAACAGAATAGACAAAATGTTTGGTTGTAATTTGAACATTGTCCTTCTAGTCAGAAGCCTTTAGTTGTGGGAACAGAATTTGGGTGTGAGTTACTCTGACCTCGGCACATAAGTGCACACAAGCCAGTTATGGGGTTAACTCTTTACAGCCTGCACTGCCCCCAGCCTGCTTTGGGCACAACTAATATTCCAGTCTTCTGCACAGAACAAGTGTCCTTGTTCCTGGCACATAGCTATGCCAACCTTCATCAACAGATCAGCAAAGTAGGAAAAGGAATTGTACACAACAGCTGGACTTTGCTTAAAAATCTACCTCAAATACCTTTGTATCTAGGGTCCTGTAACATACACAAGGAACTCAGAGGGTCACTTAACTACAGGTCACATGCCATTTTAGGGAGATGAACTCGAGACCAAAATTATAAGAATTCCAGAACCAAATGAGGAGGAAGGAAGCAAGCTAACCCTAGAGTAGGAACCCAACAGGCTCCAGGAAAAAAATGCCTGACGACAGGGCCACACAGGCTGCCCCGGGACCCCAGGAGATGGCAGCGCACGGCAGGGCAGGGCAGGAACAGAGCCCTCCCTGCAGCCTGTGGGCTCCCCCTCTCCTCCAGCAGGAAACAGAGGCCTGGCTTCCCCTTCCCTCACGTGGGGCCCCTCGGAGCCAACCCCAGAGGCATGGGCCTACCATACCCCGGCCAGGACACTGCAGTTTTATCGTGTCTGTAAAGTAGGAGGCCACACTGTCTGCTGTGGGGAGAGTGGAAGGGAGTTGAGGAGGGAAAGAAGAATGAAGCCCACCCGAGCCATGCAGCACGGCCCCCTGTGCTGACAGTGGGGAAGGGAGCCAGGACTTGCACATGGGGCGTCCCTGCATTGGGGCGCTCCTGGGCAGAGCAACTACGCTATTATCCAACAGGCCACAGGCTCTGAGCTGGCAGAAGCAAGTGAGGGCACTTGCACTGAGAAATTCAATATTAGCCCAGGGAACAGAGTGAGACCCATCTCAAAAAGAAAAGAAAAATGGAGCTGAGTGTGGTGGTCCACATCTGTAATCCTAGTGGTCTGTAGGCTGAGACAGGAGAATCACAAGTTCAAGCCCAGCCTGGTTGACTTAGCAACTTAGTGAGACCTTGTTTCAAAATAAATGTTTAAGGGGGGCACGGGGGGGCTCAGTGTGAAGGCCCTGGCTCAGTCCCTATTACAAGAAGGAAGGGAAGGAAGGGAAGCGGAGTGGAGGGGCGGAAGAGGAGAGTGACCCAGGGTAGGGAGGAGGTCAGAGTATGTGCTGGGAGCCCGGGAAGAGCACGCTGGAGCCCATGGACTGGACAGTGCACCCCTCGGAGGTGGGGGCGTCCTGACAGCTGTGGAGTGCCCACGAGCGGGCACTCACTCAAGGTGAGCATGCCAGAAACAAGAAGCCAGGCTGGGACATCAGGAGGGCATCTACGCAGCGAAGAGGCCGTGGGGAGCACGCAGAGAGGGAACCACAGACAGAAAGACCAAAGTCCCTGCGTCTACGCAAGCTCAAGCTCACAAAGGACTCGAGATGAGGGTGCTGCAGCAAGGAGGAGCCTCGGGGAGGCGCGTTTCCACCAGCACAGAGCAACGCAATCTTCGAGGCCCTGGGGACCCACGCGGCCTGGGCTCTGGGCAGCAGGAGCAGTCAGTCGCACGCTCTTGGTGCCAGCCGGGGCAGGCGGGGGGGCAGAAGCGAGGGCAGGGCTGAGGCCCATCCCAGGAAGAGGCTCAGCAGCCCGTGGGTTGGGGTGAAGGCGGGAATGACAGTCGGGCCAAGACAACCTCAAGGTCCGCTTGTGCCACAGGGGCTGGAGAGACCAAGGCCAGAGCTCTGCCCCCCGGGCAGGCAAGGTCCCAGGGCAACACTTCCCCGGGGAGGAAGCTGTCCCACCGTGGTGCCTTCCACCTGAGGTCAGCATCACTTGGGATTCTGTCTCCGAAGCGGGGAAGCGCTGCCCCGGGACAGCAGAGGCCGGTCAGGACGGTGGGGCGCCTGGGGCAGGCCAAGCCTGTGGCTGGGGCCTTTGGCAGGAGCTGTGCTGCTCCATCCAGTCCACCACAGCCTGGCCCTGGCTCTCCTGTGCCCTCTCCCGTGACCGTGCAGCTTATCCATCAAGACCTCCTCCCTAATACTTCGGCTCCTCGAGGGTCACCTGAAAAGCCAGGAAGCCATGAAGCTAGGACACTGGTACTGGAAGCGGGGCGGGGATTTCGGGTGTGGTAGTGCATGCCTGTAGTCTCAGTATTCTGGAGGCTGAGGCAGGAGGATCATGAGTTTGAGGCTAGCCTAGGCTCCATAGTGAGACCCCATCTCAAAAAAAAAAAAGAAAGAAAAAGGAAAAGTCAGACATGTAATCCCACCTACTCTGGAGGCTGAGCTGGGAAGATCACAAGTTCAAGGTCAGCCTGGACCACTTGGTGAGACCCTGTCTTAGACCTAAAATAAAAAGTGGGCAGCGGGGCGGGGATTTAGCTCAGTGGTTCCGCTGCCTGCCTCGAAAGCTCAGGGTCCTGAATTCGATCTCCAGTACCAAAAAAAAAAAGAGGGCCGGTAATATAGCTCAGAAGAAGGCCCTGGGTTCAACCCCCACACAAACAAAACAAAAATAAGCCCTGAAAGGCCGTTCCAGGGGAGGTCTGCTTCCCCATGCCGGGCAGGTCAGACTTTTGGTCACCTGAGGGGCCTAGAGCCCAGTCCTCAGCCTCTGCCTGGTCCTCCTGCCCTGCAGCCTCTCCCAGGCGGGAAGCCTCGGACCCCAGGGCTCCAGAAGGCTGAGCCAAGGAGGTGAAGTTGCTGGGGCCTTTGATCCCCAGTGAGCTCCGGGTCTGCCAGGCTGACAGGCAGGGAATGAAGGAGAGGGGCACGCTAGATGGAGAGGGCCCGGCCAGGTTTGCGGGCTGCTGGGGTGGCTGGAGGGCTGGCTTCGGGCAGGGCGTCCCGAGTGGCACCCATGTCTGACCTGGACTGAGCCTGTTCAAAGCCCACCCTTGCAGGAGGGGCTCAGCAAAGGCACAGACGGGACACCCAGTTCATGGTTCCCAGAACGGCCCTACAGCCATGCATGGGCGCCGTGTTCCATAATACACACCTGCACCCTCTCCAAAGAAAGGTCTCAGGGCTGCGGATTTAGCTCAGTGGTGATGCTGACTACCTCGAAAGCGCAAGGTCCCGAGTTTGATCCCTGGTACCAAAAAAACCCCTCCAACATTTCCCTACACACACCCACCCAGCATGCATCAGGGACAATGGCCTGCAGCCTGCACTGGGCAGTGGCCTCTGAAGGCCCTGAGCCACCAGCTGGACACAAGTCCCCAGGCCCCGCCCCCCACGTTCAGACCAGGGGTGCAGGGGAGGGAGGCACTGTCCCCAGCACCTGACCTCACCCCACCCAGATGCACCCACTCGCTCCGTTTAGGGGACAGCGGTCTTCACTTTCACCACAGGCCTTCAGTACCAGAAAAGAGGCAGATTACACAGTTCTCAGAAATTGAATTTTATAAAAAGGTATTTTTCTTTCATATCCATAAAACGATATAATTTTTGCAAGTATAGAAATGTGTCATAAATTATACAGAATGTTCCTTAATTACAGCTCAACGCAACTTGGTACTTTCCTCCCTCCCTAAAAAATGAGAGGGAACCAAAAAAAATAATATATATAACTGTGTGTGTGTGTGTGTGTGTATATATATATATATATATATATATATTTATATAATATAGACAAACCAAATATGAAAGGAAATCATTTCCTCTTTGGTATAAAAATCAGACTCTCACCTTGAGAGACACAGACAGACATGATACTCAGTTTGTAAACTGTGGCCAAAGGGGTCTCCCTGCCAAGCCTTCCCTGGTGCCCCACCCACCCACACGCCAGCTCCTTTGTCCTGTGCCCACCGCCCAGCAAGGTCCCTGCACCAACCCCTGCTCCGCCCCAGCTGCCCAGGACGGTTCTTCCCAGGCTGATCAAGCAGCTGCTACCTTGGGAAACACCTGAATGGGGAACAGCTCCAGGCTGTGGCCAGGCTCTGAGGGGCCCTGTCCTGAGCAGTCTCCTGGCCCAGGCTCTGTTCCGCCCTCCACCTCCTCCTCAGCCCTGGACGCCACCCTGCCAGCTCCTCCCGGGCAGTGGACAGTGGACACGGCTGGGACCCCGTCCACAGGGGGGCGGAGAAGGGCGGCAGCCTTCCCTTCCAGTCCCCTCCGTGGCTCTGCTTCCTGCCCCGCCCCCCACCTCAGGGTCCTGGGGTGCCACCTAAGGGGAGGGGAGGGGTCTGCTAATGAACTTCAAACTCGATTTAAAATGAAAGCTCACCTCCCCCTTGACTGAACCTCACACTCATCTTTCACTGCGTGACAGAGCCACTGTCCAGGCTCCGGCCCAGTACAGCAGGACTTACGGGATCAGGACCTGGTATGTGTGCGCACGGGGGAGGGCACGCTCCAGGATCAAGGTGAGGAAGGTGAGGACCGAAGCCCCATACTCTCCCTCTCAGCTGGCAGCGCCTCGAGGGCTGGTAGCCCCGCCCCACGAGGGAACCGTCCCAGCAGGTAGGGCTCCCAGTGGGTGCCAGTCCCCTCTTCCCAGGAGAGGTAAGACTCCAACCCAACAGAAAGTCACATAAAGTTCTCCTGTACCTGCCAAAAAAAAAAAAAAAAAGGCAAAACCAAGCTGGATCCAAACACAAATCAAGGAGACAGACATAACGTGAGGGGCCCAGAGCCCCAGCACGTCTCCAGCTTCCCGGCATGATACATTCTTGTGTAATTCAGGAACAGGGGCTCGAGGGGCCCTCTGGGGAGCGGGAGTAAAAAAATAAGACTAGAGTGTCCCTGTGGGCTCCTGGCCAGGCAGGGCCAGACGCAGTCAGTTTTCCTCATTGGGGTTCCACAGCTGCTTCCCTCAGGGCTGCCTGCCCACGCCTGAGTCCCTGCTCTGCCCGGGCCCCTCCACCACCCTGTGGCAGGGCCAGGCGTAAGGACACCAGGTCCGAGCCTGTCCCTCGGGCCAGCCTGAGTGCCCTGCCATCGGCACAGGCTGCTGGGTCGTCACCCCTTGAGGGGCTTCTCGGCCCCACTGCCAGGGCTGCTGGCGCTGTCGCTCTTCTTCCTGCGCAGGCTCTCAATCCAGCTGGAGCTGGGGCGTGTGGTGAAGCTGGAGAGCGCCAGGGAGCTGAGCCGCATGTTCTTGCCCGACATGATGAGCTCCCCGAAGCCCTCCTGGTGGGAGAAGGCGTAGCCCGAGCGCCGGGACCCTGTGCGGCCCACCCGGCGCATGCAGCGGTGCTGCGCTTTCTGCTTCTTCCTCACCAGCTGGGTGTAGCGGACCTGGGCAGGGAAGGGACAGACAGCATCAGCGTGCTGGAGAGGCCCCGGAGACGGCCACCGCTGACACCCCAAGCAGTCGTGATGCAGCCCAGCTGCAGCCACACAGAGCTCGAAGCAGGGCCCCTTCCGCCACCCGGTCCCCGATGTGGGCGGCCCGGCCCCTCACCGTGTCAGACAGATCTGGTTTCAGGCTCAGCCTGAGGAACCGAAAGGCAACCACAGGCATGATGCAGACGACCGTGGTAAGCGCGATGGTGAGCCACACCGTGGGCTGGGCCAGCGTGTTCTGGGCATTCCCTAGGGTGCACAGGAGTTGCTGGCCCCAGAATTCCCAGTGGCGAGGACAGCAGCCCCTGACGTCCTGAGCACTCTCTGGCTCAGAACCCAAGTCAGCAAGGGCTCCCCTCTTCTCCAGGCCCAAAACATTTACCTCAATGTGATGCTGGTCCACAACTCTCCCAAGCCAGAGTCTCCTTAGCCACTAAGGACGTCCATGAACACCCAGTGGGCAGGCGGTCTCCCCGCCCACTCCCTCCCATGCACGCTGCTCCCCCGACCCTGCCGCACACCCCATCCAATGCGCAGGCTCCATTCTGCAGCGTCTGGGACCCCGCTGCATGTCCCTGCACCCCACACCACCCTAACGCCCACCCGGGCTGCACAGCAGCAGGTAACTGGCCTCCTCACCCCCACCTTCGTGGCCACTTCCTTCACCTTCCTCTGTGCTCTGAAGGAGCCCATGGCCACACATGCCAGGAAAGCCCTCCACCTCTAAGCGGCACACCTGGCCTCGGAGGCTCTTCAGGACCCCAGTTCCAGACATGCTCTCTGTCCACCCACAGCTGCCTTCTCATACACAGGCCCGCGAGGAAGCGCTGTGCCTGCCCAGCACCACGAGTCAGAGCAGCCAAGGCCAAGGCCCTCAGGGCCGCTGCACTGCCTCCCCACCCACCAGCCTCCCTGCCCTCCAAGGCCGCCCTGGGTCCAGGTCAGCCCAGCGGCTTCCTCACTGACCATCCTTCCTATATTTCTCTCGCGTATCATTTAAGTCTTTTTTTAGTACCGGGAGTCGAACTCGGGACCTTGTGCTTGCAAGGCCGGTGTCGGCACCACTGAGCCACATCTCTGACTGACCATCCTTTCTAACGCAAACTCGCCATGCTCTTTGCTCCTCTTCCCCTAAAAAAGCGACAACTTCAGGCAAATCGAAGGCAAACCTGGCAGCCTGGCATTCCAAGACCATGAAGGCTGCCCCCCTAGCCCTTCTCTGCTGCTCCAGCTACTCTCGCCTCACCACCTGCAGCCCTGTCCACTGCCCAGAACCCAGCCTCGTCACCATCCTGGCTCCTCTAGACCAGCCCTGGCCACCCCACTGGCGGAGTCTCTGTCAGCCAGGAAGCCACCCGACCCCCACAGCCCCCAACCTGCCGGGATAAGGCGGCTCTGTGGGGCCAGTGCAGAGCTCCTGGCTCTGCTGAGCTCCTAGTGAGCTCCTAGTGACACGGTGGGCGCCCACCCTGCCTGTCCCAGACCACCTGCAGCTCCTCACTCTCCATGTAAGGCCACAGGCCCTTACCCACAAACCGGAACTGGTTCGGAAACATGTCAAAGAGTCCATTGCTGTGCATGGCGAAGAGGATGGCAAAGTAAACCGCGAGGCTGCCCCAGATGAAGAAGTGGTTGATGGCTGTCCAGTAGCCGGTGTCCAGCCCAATCTGCAGAGAGCAGGGGCCGTCAAGGAGCAGCCCTGGCCAGCCCTCCAGAGCAGGACCAATGCTCCCTCAGCAGTCGGTTCCGGCCTGCCTCGTACCTGCACACTGACCACGATGACCAGGGACGTGGCCACAGTGACCGCAAAGGACTGGTAGTCGGCCAGCTGGGTCCCGTCATCCCGGGTGGCCTCCGCGAACACCCCATAGGGGATGAAGAACATGAGCACGGATGTGTAGATGCCCTGGGCAATGCAGATGAAGAACTCCCGCTTGTTGAAGAGGAGATTCAGCTGGCCCGGCTCGTACAGCTTGGGGTACTCCATGCTCCGCTGCTCCGGGACGTCCTGTGTGGGGAGGCCGCGTGGCCAAGGAGGCTCAGGGTGGTCTGGGCAGACCCTGCCCCACCTCTGACAGCGGCCCCCAGTCTGTCTAGGGCCCGGGGAGTCATGGGGCCTCCCCACCACTCCTCGGAGAGGCAGCAGGCACAGGCGGGCACACGGTCAGTGTTTTCCCACCCTTCCTGGGCACCAAACTCCCCCGTACCTGATCAAAGACCCCCATAGCCAGGACCGGAAGGGAGGTGTACACAATGTTATAGAGAGTGATAAAATATTGGTCATACACGGTCTGGAAGAAAGCAGGGGGACAGAGTGAGCATGTGGCCTTTCTTGGCTACAAATCAGGCACCGGAAGAGAGTGATGTAACACCTAGGGAGTTCTACGGGGTTTTTCAAGCTTGCTCTCGACTCTCTTAAATAAACCTGTTTTTGTTGTGGTTTTTTTTTGCAGTACCAGGGATCGAACTTGGACCTTGCACTTGCCAGGCAGCCGTGGTGCCACTCAGCCATGTCCCCAGCCCAACAAACATTTCTTTTAAAGCATGCACCAGACAACAGGATTGGGTGAGGAAGAGAACAGACACAACCTCAGCCCTTAGGGAGTCCACACAGAACACAAATCAAAAGACGGGAACTCGCTACCTGGGCCGAGAAGCCACAGAAGAAGCCAAACCAGAAGTGGACCATGGTGAAAGCGAAGTTCTTGTAGAAGAAGTAGCAGAGGAACTTGCACATGCGCAGGTAGGACCAGCGCCCATGCACCAGCAGGAGGCGCTGCAGGAACTTGAACTGTGAGAAGGAGTAATCGGAGGCCAGGACAGCCTGGATCCCTTCCTGCCCGCTGATGCCCACACCGATGTGAGCCGCTGTAAGACAAGAGATGATAGGAAAGCGAAGATAGCCACACACTGCCGAGTCCACCCGTCGAGGCCTGCCTCCGGTCACCCTTCCCTGCCCAAGACCTCTGTGGACACCGCGCCTGCCCCGCCCCTACACCGCAGGCCACACTCACTTTTGATCATGCTGACGTCATTGGCCCCATCCCCAATGGCAAGTGTCACAGCCTTCTTGTACTTCTTCACCAATTCCACCACTTGCGCCTTCTGCAAGGGGGTCACCCGGCAGCAGATGACAGCTTTGCAGGCACACGCCGTCTCCAGAAACTCCAGCTCCATGTCTGCCTCCAGCGCGTGGGCCTGGAACACAGGGACACTGAGAGAGGACAGCCGTCCCCAGAGGAGCCTGGAGCCAGCTCCTCTGCCCCTCTGCAGGAAAGGCGAATAAAACGAGCTAAGTGCTCTCATGTCACCGGCTGAGCATGGTGACACTTACCAGGCTGTGACCATTGACAACAAGGGCGTATTCCCCGGCCACAGCCTCCAGGACAGAAGCCAGCTTGGAAGAAGACAGTTTCTCCTGGTAGGAGAAGCCATTGCCTACGGCGCGGGACGAGTCCAGCATCTTTTCCCGGGCTTTTCTGTGAAGGCGAAAGCAAGTGTGCTGTCTCCCAGGCCGTGCGGGAGCAGGCTCCAGCCTGCTGACCGCAGGGCGCACTGAGGGCACTGCCTCCCTCAGGCCTTGCTTACCTGAGTTCTTCTCGCACCTCCAAGACGGTGTGGCCAGTGACTATGAACACCTCCGTCATGTCGTCCGTCAGCATCTTGCAGGAGTAGCCAATGTTCACGGCCGTCTCTACCAGGAGAGAGGCAGGTCAGCACGCCTCCTGCCTGGTGCCCCAGCCCCACGCCAGGCCCACGCAGGACTGCTGTCCGGCAGCTCCCTCTGCCCTGCCAGGCCCTCACCTTGCTTGTCTCCAGTAAGCACCCAAATCTTGATGTTGGCCAGGGTGAGCAGGGCGATGGTCTCTGGAACCCCCTGCTGGAGCTTGTCCTCAATGGCTGTGGCACCCAGCAGCTGGAAATCCCACAGGGCGTTTTCCTGGCACGAGAGCAGCAGGCTCGGGCCGGTCCTGCCTGCCCGCGGCCTGCGCTGGGCACTCACCATCATGTCGCGCTCCACCTCCTCATAGACGCTGGCCAGCCTGTCTTCCCGGCTGTCCTGGGCCAGGCTGGCCTGCAGTCGTCTCTCAGCCCATTCCTCGTAGTATTCTTCATCCAGATCCTTGTAGGCCAGAACCAGGGTCCTCAGCCCTTCCCCTGCATACTCCTGCAGGCAAAGTTTGCAAGTCACACACCAGTAGGTCCAGGGAGCTAATGACAGATGGCAGGAAAATTCTTAGGTGTTCTAAACACAAACACACACACCAAAGTAAGTTACTTGTGGTGCTGCACAACAGTAACCCTGGCACTGCGGGAGGCTGAGGCAGGAGGATCATTGTTTGAGCCAAGTTTGGGCAACTAAGTGTCTTAACAAGACCCTGTCTCAAAATTTAAAAGTGCTGGATGTTGCTCAGTGGGGAGGCCCTGAATTTACTCCCCAGTGACACATACACAAAAGAGGTGACGGCGAGAGTAGATGTGGTCATCTGCGTGGCTGCAGTACTCACTGTATTACACATCTGAATATTAAAATATACCAAGTACCTTAAATATAATAAAGACAACGAGAAACACCCAAGAAAGCAGGCCACGCTCCCCGTGCCCTGCACCGAGGCTGCCCAGCGGCCTCCCTCACACCTACATTCAGGTGGTCCGTGGTGGGGCCGAGCAGCTCATGGGTGGAGCAGTGGAGTCTGTCCAGCAGGATGGTGTCGGCCCCTTTGCAGTACAGGCGGATCTTCCCCTCCGGGCTGCGCACTGCGGATGGGATGGGAGGAAGTGCAGGCCACGCGCGAGTGCCTGCCGGGATGCGCCGGCCACGCCAGGCCCCGGCCCCGCCTCACCTATCACTGACATGCGCTTCCGGATGTTGTTGAAGTCCAGGATGGCCAGTAGCTGGTAGGTGATGGCTATGCCCATCTCGTGGACGGTGATGGTCTTGGGGGTGCGAGAGCGGAACACGAAACCGAAGTTCCTGGCCGCAGTGACCAGGGCGCCCTCGTCTGGAGACTGGGCTTTGTAGTACAGCTCTCCTGGGCAGAGAGGAAGAAGGCACAGGCTGGCAGCAGCCCTGCGCTCAGCCACGGCCCCACCCAGGCACCCCAGTCCAGCAGTGCCAGGAGCACCAGCCCAGCTGGGCACAGCCAAGCCGGCTCCGGGCTCACCTTCGCTCTTTTCTTCCGACATGACAGTGTGACACAGAGAAAGGAGGCGGAAGAACTCGTGCGTATGGGGGTCCCCCAGCTTGACAGCCTCCAAGAGGCTGGGGTCCCAAAATAAGAACTTCTTGTCAGCCAGAGGATTAAAGGAGAAGTCCACGGGTTCAGGCCTCTGGGAGGGGAAGATGGCTCTCAGGAAAGGCTGGGCTGGTCCCACGTCCCAGGAGAGGGGCTGCCCCTGCCTCCCGGTGCTCACAACAGCCAAAGCCCTGCCTGTGCCTGTGCGCCCCTAAAGTGTGCATCGCTGCTGGCAGCTCCACCTCCTGCCCACACAGCACATAGTTCCCAACTGCACCCACTGTTGCTGGTCAGGAGCGCGATTGGAGCATACAGTGATTGTTTTGTTCTTTTATTTTTTGAGACAGGGTCTCACTATGTAGTTCATCCCAGCCTCAAATTTGCAGCAATCCTGCCTCAGTCTCCTGACTGCTGGGATTACAGGCGTCCACCACCACCACGCCCAGCTCAGAGCTTGAAACCATGAGAGACTGAATCTCACCTCTCCCAATTCAGCTTTGTGTCCCAGGACATCAAACACGTCACCTGCACACAGCCAGGACAGAGCAGAAGCAAGGTCAGAGCAGGGGCTCCGAAGCATGGGGAAGGCCTCCAATCCAGAACCCAGGGCCTGTGAGCCCTCAGCACATCCACCTTGCTGACTCGAGGCACAGGAGGTAACAGGCATCCTGGACCCAGAACCCAGGATCATGGCTGTAGTAGTCACAACCCACCCGCTGCCAGCCCAGCTCGCTCCAGGCCTGCACAGCAGACAGAGCCTTACACCCTGAGTCCAGGTCGGTACAGAATGCAGGGCTCATGCCTGTGAGGTCAACCCTGCACACCCGGGCATGCCATCCCAGCAGCTCAGCCACTGGCCACTGCAGCAGGGCCATGCCCAGACGACTGCAGTCACACTCCGGAGACTCACAAGGTCCCTGAGCAGCAGCACGGGGAGAGTCTAGCACACACCAGGCAGCCAAGCTCCAACCTGGCCAGGTGCCCAGGGGCCAAGGTCTGGGGCTTCACTCCAAACAGCTGAGGAGCTGAGAGCAGGGTGAGGGCTTCAGGGGAAGAGGCAGGACTCTTGGTCCCTGCCTGCTACCCGGTACGAAGACAGAACGGCCCTTCTGGGCCCCGTAGATTCACGTGGGAGAAGGAAAAGCCAACATGGGGAAAAGGATGCGAGCCAGGCCGCCCTACCGTAGCTGCGGCCACTGATGGAGCACTTGTTGAAGACCATGATGTTCTGCGTGAGGGTGCCCGTCTTGTCAGAGAAGATGTACTCCACCTGGCCCAGCTCCTCGTTCAGGGTAGTGGTGCGGGCCTCCGCAGGTGTGCGCTTCTTCGTGCAGAACATCTTCTTGTCCCAGTTGATGAAGTAGCTGTGGCCCAGCCGGATGACCTCCACACTGCACACGGGAGGGGCAGGACACAGGAGGACAGGACAGGAAGTGAGGCGAGGCTGGGCGGGGAGCAGGCCCTCAGGGGAACACAGAGCAGATATCCAGGCAGGAGCCTGGGCGGGAAGGGCAAGGCGCAGCCACGTCTCCCCGCCCGCCCGCCCCGACCCTCCAGACCCTCCAGACACGAGGTGCACGGGGCCTGGGCAGACAGGGCAGAGGAGGAAAGGAACCGTGGGCAAGGCACTTGGCCAGTTCTTACCTCAGGACTAAACACAGACACCATGCAGAGAAAGGCAAGAGCGAGTGTGGGGTGCGGGGAGAGAGTGAGGGTGCTCTGCTCGCCCTGGCCCACTCCGCGCTGCCCCACCCCACACGAGGCCCCGGAGCCAGGCTGACCCCGCACGGAGCAGAGCGCTGTCGCTCTCCCTTCACCGCTCGCCAGTCGTCACCCTGGGGATGGGACTGAGCCATGGCCGGGAGGGGCCGCCTGGTCGTGTCACCAGGCAGACAAGCGGGCTGGGAAGCCAGCCCTGCCCCTGCTGCTGCACTGCCCTCCCCAGGACACTGCCCTGACCAGGCAGAAAGCGAGGCTCCTGAGGCGCGACCACAGCTCCGCCTCAACTGGGATACAAAACAGGGACAGCAGAAGCCCACAGATGGGAGAACCACCTCAGGTAGTAAACAAGAAAGTACTTTTGTTGTTGTTATTTGTTTGAGACAGGGTCTCACTATGTAGCCCAGGCTGGCCTTGAATTCACAGCAATCCTCCTGCCTCAGCCTCCCGAGGGCTGGGATGAGTGCACCACCTCGCCTGGCTAGATTTAAAACAACAAAAAAAACCTTTAACGGGGGCTGGGGATTTAGCTCAGTGGCTCCACCACCTGCCTCGAAAGCACAAGGTCCTGAGTTTGATCCCCAGTACCAAAAAAACCCCAAAATACCTTTAATGGTTTGCCAAGCATAGGCAGACACCAAACTCCAGTATCGGGGCGGCCCCTGCCTAACTGTTCTTGAAGGTGCTGCCAGTTTCTGTCCCCTTGCCTTTGTTTCCGGACTTCTCTTCCTCCTCTCGCTTCCAGCTCCGTCTTCACCCACCTTAGTGCACCCCTGTGAGACGTCCACCTGACTGCCCGCCTGGGAGGGAGGTGCTTTCAGCCTCACACGCCTAGTGCTTCCCACCTGGAATCTCAGTACCTGGTGCTGCCCCTTCTGGAGGAGGAAGCCATCTGACACAGCCAGGGCCTGCTCTACACAAAACGCTCTAGGTAGAATGACTTCTGCCTTCTTCCTATTTTGCTTTACAACGTGCTGAGATTTTCCTCCCACTACCAGACTTAAGCTCCTAGCGGGAGGGAAATCCATTCCTGGTTCATCTCTGCATGTACCATGCCACCTCCAAGATCCTTAGCACGTGGAAGGCGTGCAATAAATACATGCTGAAGAAGTCACTGTTGTTCTAATATAGTCCCAAATGGCAGGAAATTTTAGGGTAAAATTCTGCTCTGCACACAAAGATAAAGAGGTAACAAAAATGTTCACAGTAGTTAGAAGGGGGCTCCACATTTTTTCTCAAGGACTTCACCTTCACAGAAAGCTTTGCCGAGGAGCCCGAGGGGACGCCAGGTCAGGGAAAGCACGTACCTGACATACAGTGAGATGGGCACAACGGTGTTGAGGATGATGATGTAGGACCAGAAGGAAAGGAAGCCGGAGAAAAAGGCACTGTCCACCGCCTCGTCCCAGGGCAAGTAGACCTGGAAGCGCATGCCAACCTCATGCTCCCAGATGGCATTGCCGATGGCCAGGATCACCCCCATGCAGACCAGGAATCCAAAAATCTAGGGAGTGAGACGCTGAGACTAGTGGGGACTCAGGAAGCCACAAACACAAGGAGTCCGGGAGGACGGTCACCAGTGTGCCAGAGCACCTGACTGGCAGCACACTCTATCCGACAGCTCAGGCCTCCGGCCTGTGGGTCTGGACATCACGAGGCTGCTCCTTGGACACTTCCTCAGCTGCAGGGTGGGGAACCTGGAGCACTGAGGCGTCCGAAAAGGTGCTGAGAGTGGGCTGAGCTTTCCACAAATCAAAATACTCATGCACCTGGACAGCCTTCACAGCTGCCAAACTCCCCGTTACTACAATGTCTCTATTCTATACACAGCACCGTTTTTTAAACCAGCGAAACAAACTATTTTCATGAACAGCAGTTTTTTTTCCAGCACTGAAGATTGGACTGAGGCCCTTCATATACGCTAAATCCCCAGGACTTTTAAAAAAAATTTTGAAACACAGGGCCAGGGGTTTAGCTCAGTGGTTTCACCACCTGCTGCACAAGCACAAGGACCAGAGTTCGATCCCCGGCACCAAAAAAAAAAATTTTAAACAGAATTTTGCTAAGTTGGGAAATCCTTCACTCAGGCTGGGCTCAAACTTCCCTTCTCCTGCCTCAGCCTCCCAGCTGGGATCACAGGCGCATGCCACCATACTGCAAGAAAATAATCAAGACCACTACATGACTTCTCATGTCTTGTTTCAAAGCAGCCTCCACTGCTGAGGCTTTGAAACAGGGCTCACCTGGTGCTCAAAGACCACCAGGGGCAGGCAAGCCTCTGTTCGACTGACTTAACCATGCTCTCAGGGTGGGGTTTTTTCAGTCTTTTTTGAGGCAGGGTCTCCCTTTGCAGTTCAGACTGGCCCTGAACTCACTAGTAGCCCAGGCTGGCCTCGACCTCTTGGTGATCCTCCTGCCTCAGCCTACCGAATGCTGGGATTACAGGCATGCACCACCACACTCAGCTTGGGGCTTTTATTTTTATAGATTCTTTTTTTTGGTACCGGGGATCGAACTGGGGTCCTTGTGCTTTTGAGTCAGGCGGCGGAACCACTGAGCTAAATCCCCCGCCCCATGGGGCTTTTATTTTTAATGAAAAAAATAAAACAAATTTTCATAACCAAACAAGAGAATAACATTAATTACACTGTGTATCATCATCTTCAAAGCAATTACTCTGTATAACACATAAACCAAAAAGATTCTGGTAAAAAGAAATAGATAACACAAACTTTCTTGTCAATGAACTAAGATAAACTATTACTATAAATGAAACAAGTTATCGTGTACATTGAAATTTTTTTTTTTTTGGTACCGGGGATCGAACTCGGGGATCGAAATCAGGACCTTTCGCTTGCGCGGCAGGTGCTGGAACCACTGAGCTCAATCTCCAGCCCCTTGTTGAAATACTTTTAAAACAACAGAACACGTCATTTGAGGAATCAGGCTGGGTTTCTGCGACCCCTTTCCAGCCTAGGCAGAAACTGTCTGAACAGAGGCAGGCCCAGCACCTGGAAGCCGGCATGCAAGGAAGGGGCAGGCAGCAGGCGCAGGGCCAGATGGTGAGGACAGCCTGGACAGGAGCTTGGACTTCTGGCTCAACAAGAGAAGGATTCAGGAATTGCCAAGAATGAAGAGAAACCTTCCCTCTGAGAACCTCCACCCTCAGAAGTCAGGGGAAAGGACCCTGCTAACCAGCTTGCAAATGGAAAGCTTTCTCTTTGTGGCCCCTCCACCCCATGAAGGCCTCCTTGTCCCCGGCAGAGGCAAACATGGGGTCACATGCTGCACTGGGCCATCATAACCAGGAGACAGAAGGGACGATGTTGTTTCAGCTTTAAACTGTTGATTTATGCCTCAAGTTTTTAAAAATAACATCTTTCCAGTCTAGAGGAGACTGAAATAAACTCTGCCTTTGAGTAGCTGGCCTATCAGTGGCTTCACAGCCAAACCCAGACCCTTTTGACCAGGGAAAAGCAACTGGAGGGGAAAAGGGAAGCACCCAGGGAGAAGCCAGGGCAGAGGTGGGAGAGGCTCACCCAGAGCACCAGCGTATTCATCAGCCGGTCAATGCTTGTTCTCTTGAACTTCGTCCTGCCGCTGTTCTGCATCAGCTTAGTGTCAGGACCTGGGGCAGAAGGCGAAGCCAAGTAACAACCCTGCCTCCGGGCCTGGGTGCTGGTCCCCAGGCTGTCACTGGGTGGATGAGACACTTGTCCCCAGAACTGCAGGCACTGAGCCTACACTTTCTCCCCAAGGGAGGGCTGAGTCGACAACTGCCAACTCGTTCTTCCTCTGAACCCTCGGGAGCTCACCCGCGAAGATGACCAGCCCGAAGCACCACTCAGTGTTCCGCAGCACGCAACCACGCAGCAGCATGTTCTGGTTGCTCAGGGGGAACTTGCTCTCCTTCCAGTAGAGGGTCCCGCTGAATCTGTCCAGCTTGTTGTTGGGGGGTTCACAGATCACTTCACCTGGGCGGGAGAGGAGGACAGCTACTCAGGGTCCTGGCCACGGCATGACATGAAAAGTGAGGCAGAAAGCAGCCAAGGGAGAGGGCAAGAGGCGCAGGCAAACTGGTGGCAGTGTGAGCTGATGCGGCTTCTCAGGAGAAGAACAGGGCAGCGTGGACTCCTATTATGAGCATAACCCCCAAAAAACTGCCGGGCGTGGTGGTGCACACCTGTAATCCCGGCACTCAAGAGGCTGAGGCCCGAGAACTGCCACCAATTCAAGGCCAGCCTGAACAACTAGTGAGACCCTATCTCAAAACAAAAAGATAAATGTTTTATATGCTGATGCGTTAAAATACTTATAATGCATTTGACAGGTCTGAAAAAGGGCAGACTGGGGCTGGGGATTTAGCTCAGTGGTTTTGCCACCTGCTGCATAAGCGCAAGGACCCGAGTTTGATTCCCGGTACCAAAAACAAAAACAAAAACAAAAGCAGGGCCGGGGATTTAGTGGAGTGGGTTCACCACCTGCTGCGCAAGCACAAGGACCTGAGTTCGATCCCCGGTACCAAAAAAAAAAAAAAAAACACAAAGGGAAGACTGCAGAGACTTCAGCATAACAATTATTCATAACTATGTTTCCATGTTCCTATGAACATATGTAAAAAGCGTAGATGAGCTGGGCATGGTGGTGCACACCTATAATCCCAGCACTCTGGAAGGCTGAGGAAGGAGGATAACAAGTTCAAGCCCAGCCTGGCCAATTTAGTAACTTAGCAAGACCCTGTTTCCAAAATAATAACAATAAAAAAAAATTTTTAAAGGACTGGGGGGCTGGGGATTTAGCTCAGTGGTTCCACCGCCTGCCTCGCACACGCAAGGTCCAAATTCGATCCCTAGCACCAAAAAAAAAGGACTGGGGATGTAGCTCAGTGCAAAGAGCCCTGGGCTCAATACCCAGTACTGCAAAAAGAAAAAAGTATAGATGAATACACACTGAATCATCAGTTAATGTGGCTACCCAAGAAGGACAGAACTGGAGGGAGGACAGACTACTGTGTTAACTTTTCTTACATACTCCGTAGTCTGTCTTCTGATAAGGAGCATATATTATTCTGAGCTAACAAGCAAAAAGAAGGAGTCGAATTTCTCTCAACATGCACAGCAAGTGGAAATGACCACCCACAAAACTCCCTTGACGTGGTCACCCGCCCCAAAGCAAGTGGCTGGCCTGCTTCCCTCCACAACGTCCAGGTGCCCCCACAAGCCCCGAACCTGGAGCCCACAGGAGCCCACAGCAGCCCGAAGCCTGGCCCACCCCACCGGGGCTGCTTCTGCAGGGCTACTCACCATCGAACTTGGCAAGCTTGCCAATGTCGCCCAGCTCCGAGGTGACAGGGATTGCCTGGCGCACTTTCATGTTGGTCTCTCTGGAAGGACAGGACCCTGAGCCCTGGCTCCCTCCCACTTCTAGAGTCCATCTGGGGGCACCTGACTACAGGGTGCCACTGCTTAGCCAAGACTTCTACACAGCCGAAGTCTTTCCGACCCCCAACTTGTACCACAAAGGACAGAGCTCAGACCTGAGAACCTCCTCCAAAGCCATCTTCCTGCTCCCAGGGAGGCAGAAGGAGAGGGCTAACACTGAGCATGCCACTCACCCGTCGAGCTCTGCTGTCTCTATGTAACACAGCCCGTGGGGCTCACTGCTGGACAGGAGCAGGAGATCCGCCTAGAGAAAACCCAGTGAGGACTGCAGCGCCGGCCCCCCTCGGGCTCTGGTGAGAGCCCCCACTAAGCACGCTCAGCTTGCTTATTCCAGCAACATCAATGGCTAGTCTCGGCATCTTCACACAACAGAGGAACCCTCCCGCTCAACAAAGTCTCCTTTCACAGTGGTAAGAGACCAAAGTAGGAAGGACTCAACTCTTTCTGCCCAGAGGAAAAGCAGCCCTCGTGACCCAGAGGGGCACCTTGTCCCTTACCGCCACAAACTGGTTATTTTCAAGCTTGATAATGTCACCAACACAGACATTCATCCACTGCTCCTGCTGGAGGCTGCAGCAACAGAAGACAGTGATGAGGCCGTCAGCAGCTATGGACATTCCCAGAGGATCCCCTTCCTCACAAAGCTACCGTCTCTAACAGGAACTCACATTCCACTGATCAGCACCTGAGACTGACGGTTATTCACCTGGTTATCACTCTTGTGTCGGAACTAAACAGAAGGGAAACAAGAGGGGTGAAGTCCAATTCCCTGCTGCAAGGGAACTGAGCCTTCAGGGGGACTCCAAGCATGCTGGGGAATCCCCTGTCTACACCTGTCCACAGACCGGCTCTCCCGGACCCCCTTCCCCTCAGCTAAGGTATCATAGATCTAGCTGGACCAGGTGAGGGATGGCAAGGTCACCAAGGAACTGTGCTGGGTGAAGATGGCTTGAGTTGGGGGTGGGAGGAAGGCAATGGGGGAAAAGTAGAATGAAAACAACTCACGTAGTCATCAGTAGCATCTTTAACAGCTGTGATGGTGAGGACCAAAACCAAAGGCACAATGGTGGTGAACCAGGACAGGGAAGAGATCTGCGGGATCAACTGAAAAGAAAAAAGAAAAACATGCTTCTGAGGCCCATCCAACACCTTCCTGCCCTAAATCCTCCTCTTCTTTGGCTTCGTTTTGCTTCGTGAGTCACAGTGGACACATGATAGGCCACTTACCTGCAGAATGAGAAGGAACAGGAAGTAGGTGTTGGCAACTTCCTGGAACTGCTCAAAGAGGTTGACAGGCAGGAAGGTGAGAATGTTGTACTTGGAGGTCTTGATACAGTTGCTCTGCGGCAGTGGGAGAGAAGATGACTCGGTGGCCCCCAACCCTCACCCAGAACCTGAGGCTGGCTGCCCCAAACGTCAGAAATGGGGGTCTCCTTGGGTCACGCATCCTGCTTCACCAACCAGTGAAGGCCTAAAGAATTCTGCACTGTAGCAGATGGAAAGTAGCCAAGAAGGCTGCCTTCGTCTCCCCGAGGCGTCCTCCTTGTCAGCCATCAGTCCCAGCCCAGGACATCCCTGTACTTCCCCCTCCTGCTCTGGCCAGGTGGCTGGGGTCACTTACCGCATACTGGAATTTCTCATTGTATTCCCGGTCATTAGCCCGTGCCCTCCTCTCTTCTTCTACAACAGAACCACGCTGCAGTTAGGAGGAGCAGGCTGAGGCCGGGACCGTCCTGACGAGGGTCCTACTTCATGGAGGACCACAGAGAGCCCTGGCTCTATTCACAGAATATGGTTCTACGGAGCTAGCTCCACGGCTCTGCCTCTCAGTTCCCCTCTCCAGTCTACCTCCCACCAACAGCTGCATTCACAGGAAAGCCTGTTTTCTTCTCCCTCTAAAGAGCCAAGATCCTCCACTGGGTGTACCACCCACCCCAACCCGTCTCTGGAGGAGCCTTAGTCACTGACAGTCATGGGGATCCCCAGGCCCTTGTGTTGCTACTATTAATGCAGCCATCAGTGCAATCAAGGCGCTGCGGCTGAAGATGCAAGCCATCTTCCTCTTGGGGACCACACGCCTGTACATGGGGAGGACGGGTGGTAGGGGTCACCGTGCCCTGGAGCCGCTCTGCGGCAGCATCCCAGTCCCACGTGCAAGTCCCCCACAGGAACCTCTGCTTGTCACATGTCACCAGCAGCAGCTTCTGACTGGCCAACAATGACATCATCTATTTCACAGCTCATCTTCAGGCAGTGAAGGTTGGGCTGAGGGATATGGGTCACACAGACCGAGGCAGAGATGTGAGAGGAGACCAGACATACCTGAAACAGCCGCTCTCTAACTGCGGCTTCCCCTGTACCATCTACATACACTTCCTTTCAGTAGTTCACTGTGCTTGGCTACACCTATCTAAATCTCTGCAGGTCCCCGACTGCAGGCACCAAGTTCAGGTCCCACCAGAGGGGTTGTCCTACGAAGAGGTCCCCATCTCGCGTCCCTGGGGTCACAATGACCTCGGGCCGGAAAACTTAGTTGGGCAGCAAACCCAGTACCTTAAACCTGTCAAAGAGCCAAAGGCAGCTTTCAGAGCCCTCTCTCCAGGGCGCCAGAGCGCACTGCAGCGGCAGCTCCCGGGCCACAGTGACTCCCGCCTACCGGACCAGGACCCAGGACCGCGCTAAACCAGAAACTTCCCCCGAGGAGCCCCTGGCCCCTGAGCCATCGCCATGGGCCAGGCCAAGGAAGAAGTGGGGATCTCCGGGTCCGGACAGAAAACCGGGGGAGGCCGGCGGCCGCGGAGAACGGAATGCGGAGAGCTGCCTCTGGTTACCTGTCCCCCATGAGGGCTTCTTCCGACTCCAGGAGGGGGGCGCCCCGGCCCGGGCCCACTTCTCGGGCATCTCCTTGGGGACCGTCATGGTCCCGGAGCGAGGGCGGAGGGCGCACGGTCTGTCCTCGGCCTCACCGGCGCCTCCCGCCTACGGGGCGGCCTCCGCGGAGGCACAGGAGCTCAGAGGGGAGCCCCGGCCACCCGGCGCGCACAGCCCCCTGCGCCTCGGCCATCCTCGGGCCCGCCCGGACCGCCGCGAGCTGAGCTCAGCGGCGCCGCAGCCCCCGAGTCTCCCCGCAAACGCGCAGCCCAGCTCCGCCCGCCCCGACTGCAGCGGCCGCAGCAGCGCCGCGTGGGCGACCGCCAGTGGAGCCCCGCCTCCCCGCCCGCGGCCGGCCAATGGGGAGCGGACCGCCGTCGTCGGGGCAACCGCGCGTCCCCGCCCCCAGAGGCCAGCCCTCGACCGGGCGGTGGAAACCAAAGGGAGGGCCTGAGAGTAGGCGCTGCAGGCGCCTCCAGATAAGCACGCAGGTGTGTGGACCCGGGCCGGTGCTCACGCATCCCGCCAGGAAATCCAGCTCCAGCATCGAAAGGAAAAACTCTCCTAGGCTTTCCCCAGGATGCAGAGCGGTTTAATCTCCCCTTCCCCAGTCGGCCGTGGTGGCACAAGCCTGTGATCCCAGCACTTGGGAGGCTGAGGCAGGAGGATGGCCGGCCGCACCAGCCTGAACTACAGTGAGACCCTGTCTTAAAAAAAAAATCTCCCTTTCCCCGAACCCATACCAGTTATCTCTCTTCCCTTGGTTCCCTGAGCCAGAACAACAACCATTCATGATGGCCCCTGGGACCCCCACCCCTTGCCATTCTTACCTGGGGGGCGCTTTTTTGCACACAGTGCCATCTCACCCAACAAGGTCCCAGCAATCCCATGGGAGACCCTGCAGGAAGGCAGCAGATGCAGGGGGCCACCAAGCAGAGGGTGACCCTTCACTGCCCTTCAGCCCCTCCAGTGTCCCTTCTCCGCTCTGCCCTGCCCTCAACAGCCAGCTGCATCAACACTCTCCCACTTCCTGCCAGGACATCAGAGGAAAGGGGCTGCCCTCTGCTTTGGGTACACGGGGGAGCTGATCGTCTACCAAAGCAAAGGCCTGCAGGGGAAGGGGGCACAGGTCCCAAGGTGTCCATCCCAGGGACAATGGCTGCCCCACGATCTCCTGGTGCCGACGACGTGTGGCGCCTGTACTAGAAAGCAGCATTTCCCCGAGGGGTGCAAGGCGGGAACAGAAGCAGGAAACACCTGGCAGGGCATCAGGAAGCCGGCGGGCAGGCTCCGCCCTTCTTTCAAGTCCCCCACGCCGCCCGCTTGGGGCTTCCATTATCACCTCCTCCGCAGAGGAGCTCATTCTAGAGGCAGGGCCTGCACTTCCTGGCCAGACAGTCCCCAGACACTTCCTCTCAATCTGGGCAGCCGCCCCTTGGGCTAGCAGGAGGGTCTTTCCAACCACAGCAGAAGAGGCCCTCACCCTCTCTTGCACCTAAACGGAGTCCAGTCAGGGCAACACTGGGTTCAAGCTCAGAAAGCATCAGTCATCCGGATTTCCACCTTCCCACATCTTTTCTTTCTCCTGAAAAGGCGTAAAGCCTGAGCCGGGAGTAGTGGCATAATCCCAGCTACTAGAAAGGCTGAGGCAGGAGGGTCACAAGTTCAAGGCCAGCCTGGGCAACTACCAAGACCCTGTCTTAAAATAAAATAAAAAATGAAAGGGCTAAAGATATAGCTCAACGGTAAGGAGCCTGCCTAACATGTGTGAGGCATTGGGTTCAATCCCCAGTACAACAGGGGAAAGAGAGAGAGAGGAGGAGGCGGTGTTGGGGCTGGCCTACAAGACAGGCTCACAGAGCCTGGAGCCTGTTCCCCAGCCTGGCCCAAAGGAGAGGAGAGGGCTTCCACCTCCTCCTCGGGCCTGCCTCCAGCCTACAGGGAACACCCCAGCAGCCCGTCTACCCAGCCTCTGTAATTACAAACTGCCCACAGCCCAGTCACCCACTCCAGTTCTCCCTCCCTGCCCCGGACCCAGCAACACTGACAACCAGGAGACCTCTTCCTCTCTGACCCTCCCCGAACGTGGCAGGCAAGGCCGTCTGGCTCAGGAAGAAAAAAATCTCATCCACATTTTGGAGATGCCAAGACCTCCTCCAGGGCCCCAGCCAGGGTCTCCACCCAGTCTAGAGAATGAGTCACGGGGTGGGGTGGGGAGGTAGGGAGGCGAGGCTGCAGGGTGGGCAGCAGGTTTCCCGCCGGCACACCCGGAGGTGGTCGGTCCAGAAGCGCTGCCAGCCCGGGGGCTGGGGCTGCGTCCCAGGCAAGACTTAGTGGAGGAGCTGGACAGCCGCCGGGAGGCAGGAGTCTGGAACCGGCCCAGGAAAGTTGTTTTACCTCTAAGGCGCCGGGAGACTGAAGCAGCCTTGGCCCCAGACCCCATGCCGGGCCGGGGCAGAAACGGAGCGGGGCTGGCAACAAGGCCCCCTACTTCTGCCCGGCCTCGTAGCCGGGGGCTCTGGACCGGTCCGGCCCATCGGCCACGTCGCCCTGCCCCAGCCCCCTCTGCAGCCACATCTGGGTAAAAATAGCTGGCCCGGGGAAGAGGATGCTCACGGGGAGAGGGCGCATCCTCCCGCCCGCTCCTGCCCCGCGCCCACCGACACCCTCTTCCGGCGCAGGCCGGCGGGTCGGGGACGCGGGAGGAGCCCTAACCGGGACGGTCACAGGGCGGGCAGAGACTGCACTCCGAGACAAAGCCCGGCCCGCACCCCGCGCCCGCCTCACCTCAGCGCTCCGCGCGCGGCGCCCGCCCCGGCCGCCCCGTCGGGCCCATGCCGGGGCTGGGGCGGGGGCGCTCGCTCGGCTCCCGCGGGCTCCCGCCCCCAGCTGCGGCCCGCTCTGCCGCCCGGCCCGCTACTTTGTGTCACTTCGGGCCGCGGCGGGGCGGAAGTGACGGCGACGCGAGCGGGCGGGGGGCGGAGGGGGTCTGGGGAGGGGAGGGCGAGCGAGGCGCGCGCCGCCATCTTGGAGCCGGGCAGGGGTTCGGCGCGGCTCCCCCGCCCCCGCGGCCCGCGCCGGCAGACAAACGACTGCGAGGCAGGGTGCGCAGGTTTTATTTTAATTTGGAAGAAGGGGATGGGAGGAAGCTACTGCCCTCTCGGTCACGAGAGCATCATCTGCGGGAGGGGCGCGAGGCCGGAGGAGCGGGGCTTCGGGGACTTCCCGGCGGCCGCCTCCCCTCAGCCCCCTCGGAGCCGCCCGCCCCTGCGCCTTCGCCTTCTCTCCGAGCCCTGGCTCGCCTCGGGCCCCGCACCTCTGCTGGGACGCCGCCCCCCGGAACGGCTAGGTACTGTATTGGGCTGTGCCTCGTTTTCCCCGGGCTCTCCGGCCTCGGCCCACGCCGCGCCCCGGATGGAGGTGCCTTCCCCACCTGCACCGCCCGTCGGGGCGGCAGGGTCTGGGGCAGGCGCCCCGGAGGGGAGGCGCGCGGCGCGGGTGGCTGCGGCCGGCGCTGGGAGCCGGCGCCCGGCCTGAGCTTTGGGGTCCGCAGGGTCACGGCCCCGCCCGAGGGTGGTCGCGCGGCTCTCCACGACCCCGAAGCCCTCCCGAGCCGGCACCTGGGGCTTGCGCCCCTTGGCGGCTACTGTGAGCAGCTACCTCCCCAGAGACCCCGAGGTTGAGAAAGGGGAACGGGACCAGAGCCCCCGACCTCCTCCCGCCTCGTTTCCCAGTTAGGAGGAAGGCCGCCCGCGGGTAAGCGGGGTCTGCATGCGCATGAACGATGTCGGACTTGCGAGCAGGCGGGTCGTGGCTCTCGCGTCCACGCGTGAGTCACAGTTTACACTCCAGCGTCTGAGGTGAGGCAGGTTTTGCCAAGCCTGAGGCTTTGTGCTGGGAGGAGTCCAGATCCGGAGCCAGCTCGGGGTCCTCGGGGTGGTGCAGAGCCACAAGCACCTGGTATGTGCCTGTGCCAAGAGTGGCCCCCACCAGAGGGGCCACCACGGGCACCCACCACCAGCCGTTGCCAGCACTAGGAGAGAGGAGAGCGCAGATGGCGGGGGAGAGCTCCCCTAGCCGCCCCCTCTCAGGCCTCAGCCCCCTGAGGCAGCTCCTGGAGTGCAGTGGTGGGCACAGGGTGGAGCAGTGGGAGCCACCCGCCAGCTGCTGGCCTTACAGTACAGACGTTTTCCTGAGGAGGTCGCTAATGCCCAAAGAACCTCTCTAAGTTACTCTGTCTGAACCCGGAGGGGAGAAGAGAGAAAAGGAGAAGGTGAGGCTTGGACAGAAACACTGTCCATGAGGCCTGGAGAACTGGAGCAGGAGAGAGCTGGGGCCCGGGGAGGGCCGTGGGCAGTGAGGGAGTGGTGGCCCACACTGGGAAGCTTCTCCCACCTGAAGACTTCAGGGCCCCAACCAGCCACGTAGGTGAAGAGCCGTGGTCCCAGGTCCCGGGCAGGGTTGAGTGGAAGCCCACAGTTGACACCCATGGAGAGTCCAAGGACCAGGATCAGCAGCCCCACCACCACAGGCTCCAGTCCTGCAGGCACGCCCTTGTTCCGTCTGTCCAGGATGGCCAGGAGCCCCACAATCAGCATCGCAGTGCCTATGACCTGGGTAGATAGGCAGAGGGGACCTCATCTGCCTCCCCACCCGCACTGCACACCACCAGCAGGCAGCCAGCACCCCCCCTCACCGCACTAGGGCTTCCCATGTCTCCCTCACACCTACCTGGTCCAGAAAGCCGTTGTTCAGGGATAGGTAGGGAGCAGGATAGGTGGCAAAGATGGAGGCTGTCTCCCTGGGGCCCGTCACCGTCAGGTTCCCACCTGTGTAGTTCTGCAAGGCGTCTGTGAGGGACACGCAGGCTTCTAGCTTTGTGCTTCCAGGACCATTCCAGGGCACCCTCGCCCACCCACCGTGCCCGCCTCTGTCCCATTACCGTAGTAGAGGATGTAGGTGGCTCCGGAGGCACAGAAGGCCGCCAGCAGCTGCACCAGGCAGTAAATGGGGAGCTTGGCCCAGGGGAAGCGTCCCAGGAGGCACATGGCCAGCGAGAAAGCTGGATTCAGGTGGGCTCCTTCAGGGGTCAAGGGGAGAAAACCAGCATCCATTCAGTGTCACCAGGGGACACTGCTGCCCCCCCCCCAGCTCTTAAGGCACTGGTTTCCATGACGCAGCTGAAGGAGTTAGAGCTCCAGGAGCGCTAGCGCTACTCAGGCGACACAGTGAAGCCCAGATTTGAACCCAGGTCTGGCTGCTTGTTCTGCCACAACACGCTATCTCAGGGCTCCAGCCGAGCACTGAGGCAGAGTGTGCTGAGGGCGAGCAGGGCCCAGAGCAGAGGCCAGTGCTTACCCTCGGTGCCCTGCCCTAGGTGTCTGCCTACGTGGCCCAAGGGGCAGCGTGAGGAGGGGGAATGGAGAAATCCAGGAAGGGCAAGGGCTGCGTGACGCAGAAGCATATCTCAGTCCGGGGCACTGGTCAAGCTCAAGGAGATAATGTCTGTGAGTCACCGAAGGTTCTGCCCTGTCACTGTCACCAGGTCTCCACGCTCCCCAGCACATCCCACCCCTCAGTAACCAGACCTGACCCCATCACCTGAGACATTGCCAGCCACATAGATGGCTATCGTCACGGAGAGAGAGCCAGCCAGAAACATGGTGAAGAAGTTGCCTTTGGTTTCTCCACTGGTGACAGCCTGGGCCACTGCCCCCTGCGTGAGGAGCTGGTGGGAGGAGGGGCAGTGAGGGACAGGAGCCCAGGAGACCAACTAGAGAGAAAGGGTACGGGAGGGAGCAGGAGAGATGGACAGACCTGAGGGGCCAGCAGAAAAGGAGAGAGGCAGAAGGAGGAAGGGGACAGGGGGGACCAGGAGGAAGGAGAAAGGAAGGGGAGAAGGGGAGAGATGAGGAAGGGCAAGCACCGAAAAGAGGTAAGGAAGGAAAGGAGAAAGGAGCGAGACCAGGAGAGGTAGGAGAGAGAGGAGCTTGAGGCTTGCAAGGAAGCAGGATGCCAGGAAACAGGAAAAGGACGCTAGGAAAACTCAGGTGCTTTGGCCCATTTCTTCCTCCACCCCTTCATCTTGCCTACCAGGAGCACAAATACACCCAGAAACTCTGCCAGGCACTGTCGGGCCAGGAGGCTGCGGATCCGGAGGTGGGCCCTGGCTCCAGCCAGGGGCTCAGTGCAGGCCATGGTGGGGACGCCCTGTCGCTGCTCACTGCTGCTGGTGTCTGCATAGGCCCACAGCCACGACTGCCAGGGGGAAGATAAGAAAGAGACTTTAAAACCAATTAGCTGAGCTGAGTAGCAGCTAATACCTGTGCACGTGTGAGGGAGGCCGGAGTGTAGGCACAGGTCTGCGAGAAGCTTCCTACCCAGGCAGAGCTGGAGTTTGTCCCTGTTTCTTCTGTCCTCGTCCCCACTCTGCACAGGCCCAGCCTGGGTGTGGGAAGTGCCCTGCTTCATTCTTTAGTTCTTGTGGTCCTGAAGACAACTGTGTAAAGTATTGTCATGGCTCCCATGTACAGGTGAGGATGCTGAGCCCTAGAATTCCCTCAGATCACAGTTAGTGGATGAGTGAATTCAAATCTCTCTTTCTCTCCAGGGTCTCGCTATGTAGTTCAGGCTGACCTCAAACTCATGATGATCCTGCTGCCTCGGCCTCCAGAGTGCTGGGATTACAGGTGTGCACCACTACACCTGGCCCAAATCCATGTCTTATGAGTGTCCATCTAGTATACCAGGTGCCTCTCATCTGAAACACAAAGCCTTCCTGACCATTTGGAGAACTGAAGAGCTCAGCAGGCATCCTGGTAGACTGAGCTGAAGTCTGCAGACTATTGGAAGGAAGCCACGCTGGGTGCTTGTTCTTCTCACCTGGGTTGGAGAATGCTGTAAGTGTGTCTGGTGCTGAGGCTTAAGATGAGGATACCAACCCAACCCCTGTATGGATTCGGGGCACTCTGCATAACACATAGCCAGATCCTGTTTCTTCACGTATCTCAAGTCTCCCATAGGACTCAACTGAGTCAGCGTCTAGATGATGGGAAGTCTGCCCTCCTAGAGCTTCTGACCTAGCAGGTGGACACAGGGATCAGTGCCTTCTGCCCCAGAGAAATGTGCACCATTAGAAAAACAGTTCTCGGGGCACTGCCAGGCTCTGGCGCAGGCATCAATTGCCAAGTAGCCCAGCTGGTCACCACAAGCTGGGCTCTGTCAGACCTTCGTGGCATTAGGAATGCTGCTTCCGACAGGAAACACTGAAAGACGAACTGGCATCTTCGGGATCAGCCATAAATGAGGTGGGTCAGGACACAAGCACACCTTAAAGCAAGTGGCCAAAGTCCCATTCTCCCACCAGAGCCACCTGGTGCCCGCTGAGGGATTCCTTAAACCAGCTGGCAGAACAGGAAGCCTGAACTGCACTTGCAGGCGGGGTAGCGTGGTGCGCTGCACTGTCACCCTCTCCGGAGTGGCCCTGAGCATGGAGAGGAACCCCTCCGCGAGACGGACTGGAGAGTGGAGCTGGTCCCTCACTTCATGTGGGAGAGAAGGACCAGGAGGTACCATGCACACGCTGTCGTGCTGGCTGTGGCAGCACCCTTGTTTGGTCAGTGAGATCTAGGAGAGAGCATTCTGAGGATGAGATGCAAAATGTTCCCTGGAGAACACCTGTCACAGAGCAGCTCCGAGCAAGCCTACGGGATGACAGCCACTGCCTGCCCCAGCACCTCCGTTCTGCATGGGGGCAGTGAGTGCAGGACCTGGAGGAGCGACAGAGCCTGTGCAGGACAGCAGCAGCACCCTGCTTGCCAGCGTGGAGCCTGATGCGGTGCTGCCCCTCGAGAAGCAGCAGGCAGGCACCAAGTTGAGAATGTGAGACCTCACTACTCTCTCCTGGGCAGGGAGCCCAGGGAGCCCTAGCTGTACCCCCTCCTCTTCCAGTGTTTTTGTTGTGAGTGGGTCTCACTATGTAGTCCAGGCTGACCTCAAACTCACTATGTATCCCAGGCTGGCCTCAAACTGGTGACCCTCTTGCCCCAGCCTCCTTGGTAGTTGAGAATGAAGGTGTGAAATCTTACCACTCTTGACTAAAATTAACAAGTAGTTTGATTAGTCATTCCCCACTACACCTGAGAGATTAGTTCCAGGACTCACTGCCAGTACCAAAATGTGTGGATTCTCCAGTCCTTTATATAAAACAACATGGGAAGGGTGGTGTGGCTCAGTGCTAGAGCACTTAAGTAGTATGCTTGAGGACCTGGGTTCAAGTCCCAGTAAAAGAGAGAGAAGATGCATAAAACCTACATACACCTGTAATCTCAGCACTTGGGAAGCTAAGGCAGGAGGATCACCATGAGTTTGAGGCCAGTCTGAGCTATACAGTGAGTTAAAGGCCAGCCTTGAACTACATAGTGAGACCTCTCCAAAGGAAAAGAAAACACAGCCAGGCATGGTAGTATACACATGTAATTCTAGCATTCTGGGAAGCTGAGGCAGGAGGATCTTAAATTTGAGTGCAACCCATTTAGACACTTAATGTGATTTCACCTCAAAAAGGCTAGGGATAGGGCCAGGGATTTAGCTCTGTGGTTCTGCTGCCTGCCTCACAAGCACAAGGTCCCAAGTTCAATCCCAGGTACCAAAAAATAAAATAAAATCAAAAAGGCTAGGGATATCCCTTAGTGCAAAGACCCTGGGTTCGATCCCCTGTTACCTCCCCCAAAATACTTTTAAATCATTTAGGTGACAATGATAAGTCATATATGTGTCTGTGTGTGTGTGTGTGTGCGCGCGCGCATGCGTGCACACGCGCAGTTTTGTTATCTGAGATTGGTTGAGTCTAAGGATAGAGAATCCACAGGCAGAGGGCAAAGGCCATCTCTATAGACTTGCCTTCCTCGTTCATGGGGTTGCAGCTAGTACTACTCCCTAAGGATTTACAGAGTAGTTGATACATTAGCATGGAATCTGCATTGTTACTTTACACAGGGATTTACACTACAGAGAAGTACGTGTAGCAGTGGGCACCTGACTCAGGTTTTGTTTTTCGGTTTTGGGTAGTGGGAATTGAACCCAGCACCTCATGCTAGGCAGGTGCTTTACAACACAGCCCCAGCCCCAGCCCCAGCCCTTAGATATGTAACTCACTGTTGAGAGAATCTAATTGGAGACTTGAGAGATGAAGCAGTAGGATCTGGCTGTGTGTTTATAGAGTAAAGGCTGTACCAACCAAAGAAGGGCATGTGCAGTGTGCCCCACACAGAGGCCACAGGGCTGGTAGCCGCCCAGTGGCCTCTATGATGCTCTGAGGTACCAGCTTCAAGATGGTACTCTAGGAAGGTGGACACCATCCTCCAGAACGTGGTATCTACCCTAAATTAAAGATCATTGTATGATGTGTCTCCAACAAGTAGATCGATCCAGGAATTAAATTACATGGGTCTGGGCTAGATATTCCAATGACCCTAGTTTTTCTTTACTCATAGTGAATCACTTGGAGAATTTGATTTTGAAGGTTTAGAGACACAATGTTTCCAGAGTTAAGAATTTCTCTTGGGGGCCAGGGATTTAGCTCAGTGGTTCTGGTGCCTGCCTCAAAAGCGCAAGGTCCCCAGTTCAATCCCCGGTACCAAAAAGAAAAGAATTCCTCTTGAACTTTGGAGTCTCTTGTAGTTGACCCAGGTCTCAGGTCCCTATTTGGGGTGCCAACTGCAAGCAAACTGGGTCCTGAGCCCCACACTGGGGCACCACCTGTAGCCAACCCACCCAGCAGACCTTGTTCGGTCCTAGACCCAATATTTTGTTCCTCCTGACCTGGGGGCAAACGAGGATGAATGACAGAGAGACGTGGTATCAGCCTAACATGTGGGCAGCCCCGGGGGCCAAGCCTCTGGCAGACAGAGGAGCCTCAAGCCTTTAGCTCACCTTACTTTTATTCACCTGAACACAGGCACAAGCAATCAAAGTAACACAGGAGTCCTCTGGGTTCCAGTGTCCATCAGTACAGTCTCTGGTAACCGACCTCAGCTGTCTTGTTTTTTCCCTAACATGCAGTCACCCCTGAGTGCAGCCTTTTTCCTTTGTGTTCACAGAGGAGGCCAATTAGGCCTCAATTCTCCTCTGGTCCTCGACATCTCCCCCTTTTTGGTTTTAGAATAACAGCAGTTGAGTATCAGTCGGTGCCATTCATCCCTAGGGGAAGTATGCTGACACAACCATTCTGTCTTTTGCCTTGAAGTCTGGCCTTTAGGCCTTCATCCAAGGCTGCAGTGTATCTGTACTGGCTCTTTTCAGAGAGCATAGCCCTATCTGTTGCTTATACCAGAGCAGCCATCCTCCCTCCATAAGGAGAAGACTGCTGGCTTCTTCCCGAAGAGGTCCTAGTTGTGATCAGTGGTCAAAGACATTGCCCATGGGCCCCACCCAAAGTCCTCTGCCAGGTTGGCCTCAAGGATAGGTGAGTTTTTCTGCCTTCTGGGTAGTTTTCTTCAGTCATCTGGGAGAAAGCTCTCACTGTAGAGGAAAGTCAAGTCAGTTCCTCCACCGCTATAGTATCATCAGTTCATTTCCCAGGGCAAGACCCTGCCCCCGCATCAGCAGGGTGCTCAAATAACTGAAAGAACTAGTTTGAACTTTCTTTCCTGGGGGTATGCATCCATACCTCCTGCATCAAAGCCCGTTCGTACCTTCTGTTCATTTTCTCCAAGGACACAAAACTGCCCCACACTGGCAGGGTTCCCAAAGTTTCTACAAAAAGATAAATACATCATCCATTCAATGCATTTCATAGGCTGAGAATCTTTTCCAACAGAACACATTCTATCCTTGCAAGTGTTTTTCCTTAATTGACATAACACTGACACAGTTTCCTTTGACATAGTAATTCCCTAAAAATATTTTAAATCCTTAATTTTAACATACTTTCCTTTAATTTTGAATTCTGCTTTCATTTTAATTTTGAACTTTACTTCCACTTTAATTCTGAACTTTGCCCCCCCTCAGTCGAGCTGAGAGAGGCTTCCATGTACACTCATGTTTATTTTGCCTTTTCTTTTACTTTCTTTTCTCTTAATTGACACAGTAATCCCCTTAGAAAATATTTAAAATCCTTAATTTCAACAATGTTGACACATTCACTTTGGCACAATACCAATGAGATACACTGGGCTGCTGGCCGGAAACAGCCAAAGCACTGAACTGCCAGATCCTCCGTTGCCCACCAGCATCCAGGTTTTTTGGGGAGGTTTTTTTTGGTGCCGGGGATCGAACTCAGGTCCTTGCGCTTGCGCAGCGGGTGGCGAAACCACTGAGCTACATCCCCGGCCCCGCATCCAGTTTTGAAGACCCAATGGGGAAGACCGTCTTTCTGCCTGCACTCACCTCCTTTGCTTTTTCCTTTGCCTTTTTAACCCTGGTTGCTTTTTTCTCACTTTGCACTTTCTTCTTCTCTGAAAGTTCTCAGCCCACACTCTTACTCCTTTTCGTTTTCTTTTGCCCCAGGCTCTCTTCCTCGAATTGCTTTTTCCTTTGTTTTCTTTTGCTGCAGAGCTCCAGTCACTTTTCACTTACTCACCTCCATTTGGGTGAAAGGTTCGTTCTCCTTCTTGGTCAGGCACTTTCCCTTCTGACTCTCCTGGTGGGGCTTGCTGTTCAGTCTTCTTCCAGTCCAGGCTTTCCCTGGTGCCAAGTCCCTGTTTGGGCGCCAACTGGGTGAGCCAGTTCTCAGGTCCCTGTTCGGGGTCCCAAGCCCCAACTGAGGCACCACCTGTAGCCAACCCACCCAGCAGGCCTCGGCCACTTTGTTCTCTTTAACCCGGGGCAAATGAGGATGAATGACAGCCTAATGTGGGCAGCCAGGGGGCCAGGCCTCTAGCAGGCAGAGGAGCCCCAAGCCTTTGGCTCATCTTACTTTTATTCACCTGAACACAGGCACAAGCAATCAGAGTAACACAGGAGTCCTCTGGGTTCCAGTGTCCATCAGTACAGTCTCTGGTAACCGACCTCAGCTGTCTTGTCTTTTCCCTAACATGCAGTCACCCTGGAGTGCAGCCTTTCTCCTTTGTGTTCACAGAGGAGGCCAATGAAATTCTCTGGTCCTCGACAGTCTCTGTAGCAAGAGACAAGTAGGCAAGGACAGGAGACACCATGCCAGCAAGGGTAACAGTCTGCAGGGAGTGTGGAGGGTGCAGCTGAGTGTGGGGCAGGAAAACGTGGGCACCCCGGTCACCCATGGGGATGCCCCGTGCTCCATGTTCAGTGTAACAGGACACGGATTATCAGCCACAGACTGAAAAGGGATGGTAAGGAAGGGATGGCACGCTCAGAGCTCAGGTCCGGGTCACCCACCACAGCTGCCTGGTCTAGTGGAGGTGCTCACCAGAGGTGAAGGAAGTACAGAAATACCAGAGTCCTCCAATCTGCCTAGAAAGGGGTGCGGTGAGGGCTAAAGACTAGGAGGCACACTTTCAAAGTGCATGGGGGCTGGGAGTCCAATGCCAAAGTGGACAAAGACACTGGGCTAGCCACTATTTATTGGGTATGCACAATAATAGGAGGGGCATCAAGTGACTCAAGAGGGCAATTCTATGCTGATGAGGAGCTTACACTGATGACAGGAGGGCAAAGCATTCTTACAATAGTAGGTGGAATGAGACAGCAAGCTAGTAAGGAATCTGATCTTCCCCCAGGTGAAACCTTTCCCTTTTTTTATTACTACTCCATTCTCAAGGAACCAGGATGTCTTCAGCTGATGTACTCTCGCCCTGGAGCGTCACAGCATCATGGGACCATTGAGGCCTCAACTGTGACTCGAGGCGGAGTTATGTTCCCACAGGCCATAGCCAGCTCAATGGCAAAGTGACATTAGGCTTCAGGCAGCCCTAATCATGGTTTGATTATGAAATGATTTCCCCCACAATTCTATAGAATGGCTCTCAACACCAAAATAGTGGTACAGGAGGGGGATGATGAGAATCTGCTAGTCCCTCCAACTCAATTGTAGTGGGAAAAGCTCTACTTTTCCACTAACCCTTTCTTCCCACCACCACCACTGGAGATCCAACCAGCCCCCTCATAAATGCTCTATCACTAAGCTACAAACCTAACTCTTTTGTCATTTTTTTCTTTTTTTTTTTTTTGGTACCAGGTATCAAACTCGGGACCTCGAGCTTGTGAGGCAGGCACTGGAACCACTGAGCCAAATCCCCAGTCCTTGTTATTTTATTTTGATACAAGGTCTCCCTGAATTCTCCAGGCTGGCTTTGAACTGTGATCCTCCTGCCTCAGCCTCCTAAGGTGAGGCAGGACGATCCTGAGTTCAAGATCAGCCTAAACCACATAGTGAGTCCTTGTTTCAAAAAACAAACAAAGCAGGCCAGGGATTTAGCTCAGTGGTTTCACTGCCTGCTGTGCAAGCACAAAGACCTGAGTTGGATCCCCAGTGCCAAAAAAACAAAACCCAACTATTGACAGGATCCTGAGAAGACAGTAGATCAAGTAAAATCCTAGCTTTTTCTTGAATTACATAAAAACAAATAGAGCAACTAGGTAATAACAATCAAAGACTTACTAAAAACACATACAATAAAATGATGACAGGGCCAGGGATTTAGCTCAGTGGTTCTGGTGACTGCCGCGCAAGTGCGAGGTTCTGAGTTTGATCCCTGGTACCAAAATTTAAAAAAATGATGACTAAGTGTGTTTTGAACCTTTAATACAAGTGAGCAGGATCAATATCAATAGCCATCAGTCCTGGACAGTATCAGCATCTGTGCAGGAAGAAGCAGCAAAAATCAAGGGGGAGGATATAAAATCACAAAAATAAATAGCTTTCCTATACACTAATAATAAACTCACCAAGAAAAAAGCCAAAAATAATTGCATTCAAAATAGCATCGAGAAATAAAATATCTAGGAAAATGCCTAAGAAGGTGAAAGAATTCTATAATGAAAATTATAGAATGCTGAAGAGAGAGACTTCAGAAAAGGAAAAGACTTCCTTTGTTGATGGGTTGGCAGAACTAATATTGTTCAAATGGCCACATTACCTTTGGTAATCTACAAATTGAATGCAATCCCCATTGAAATACCTGCATTTTTTACAGGACTAGGACAAATAACCCTAAAATTCAAATGGAAGCACAAAAGACCCAGAATGGGCAAAGAAATCCTGAGCAAAAAAAGCAATGCCAGAGGCATCACAGTGCCCAATTTCACATTCTGCTACAAAGCCACAGTGACGGCACAGTACTGGCTCAGAAGCAGACACAAAGGCCAATGGAAGCCGTCAGAAGACACAGGCAAATCCAGGCCCTTATGGCCATATGATTTTTGACAAGGGCCAAAAACATGCTGTAGAAAAGACTTTCTTTTCAACAAATGATGCTGGGAAAACTGGTTGTCCACATGCAGAAGAATGAAACTAGATCCTCATATCTCACCCTGTACTAAAATCAGACCAAAATGGATCAAAAATCTAGATTTAAAACTTGAAAGTGCTGAGGGGAAACACAGCCATAGGCACAAGCAAAGACTTCCTACCTGAATAGGACCCCAGCAGCACAGGAGATAATATCAAGAAGCAACAGGGCCGCAGGTTTAGCTCAGTGGTGCCAGCGCCTGCCTGGCAAGCACAAGGTCCTGAGTTTGATCCCCAGCTCTGCAAAAAAAAAAAGACTACTTCAATTTTTTAAATTTCTGCACAGCAAAGGAAACAATAGAGTGAGGAGACAGCCTACAGAATTTGAGAAAAATATTTGCTGGCTACTCTTCTCTAATATCTAGAATATATATATAAAAAAATTGGACCAGGGATTTAGCTCAGTGGTTTCGTCACCTGCTACGCAAGCGCAAGGACCCGAGTTCAATCCCCGGTACCAAAAAAAACCAAAAACAAAACAAAAAAAGAAATGAAAAAATCACTAGGTGTAGTGATCCAGGCCTGTAATTCCTGCCCTTGGGAGGCTGAGGCAGGAGGATCACTGCAAGTTTGAGGCCAGCCTCAGTTACATAATGAGGTCAAGGCAAGCCTGGACTAAATAGCAAGACCTTATCTTTTTTTTTGCTTTTTGTTTTTTTTGCAAGACCCTATCTTAAAAATATCTTTAAAAAATGTAACACAAAGACAGTAAAACATAAAGACAATTTTTTTTTAGGGGTTCAACAATGTATGATTTTTATTCTCTTGCTCTGAAAGCTTGTATGGGGGGAAGAAGAAAAAAAGGCAAATAACTCAAGATCTTAAAACAGGGCCTCTTGTGTGCTTTTAAAAAATAAACAAAACCAAGTATCCACTAATTTGCTCAGACATAGCAGGCTTAGTGGTCCTGTATCTCAAAAAAGTTAATGGGTTTTAATGTGGGAGAGGGAAAACATCTACTACCCTTTTCCAGAATTTAAATAGAGGACAGTAGACATTTCTTTACACCCAGAAATTATGGCAACAGTTGAAATGTGACCAAAGTAAATGCAGAATGGAGATGTTTTAAGCAAAGCTAGGACTCAGCAAATCTAACACACTAAAATCATGATTACATATTGATAGAAAATGCACAAAAACCAGTAAGAATTTTGAGATTTTTCATTTGAAAGTAATCTTAATGCTATTAAATTCACAAATATGCTAATTTAAATACCCAATCCTATTTTATCTAAAACACACATTGCAAACATACAAATATCTATTCTCTCCACATGTAAGTGCCCATTTGTATCATGGTTTGAAATGGGGAGAATAGATTTATTCCCCTTTATCTGCAAGTCAGTAGGTGTTTCTTTACAGTTAACTTTAGCAAAATTCATACAAAATGGTAATTAACAATGATCTTTACCTGTTAACTCACAAGGAAACACCTTCAAAACTGCATTTTGTTAAAGTTTCTGTACTAAAGTGTAGAAAAACTGAGCTACACAAATATTGAAAAGTTAAAAATTCCTTAATTTTTTATTCCTGATACCACTACCACAATTTACAGGGCAATATGCCTGACATAATGAAAAGAAAAAGCTACAACAGATAAAAGACCTCAGGAATGTACATCTAATTGACACTACGTTGCATTAATCAATAGCTGCACTTTTTGCAAACTGTGGCTATGACAGTCCTGAACCAGTATGATTTCCTGTTTAAGCTGCAGTAACTTTTCTGACTATGGATCATCATTCCTTCTGTGGCAGATTTTTACAGTTCCGCTAATGCATTTGGGACGACTGTCTCAAAGTAACCTGCAGCTTTCCTGACAACTCCTCGCTCTCTCTCCTGCTAAAAACTGTAGCCCTTTTCTGTTGTTTTTTAAAACCTTCTGCTACCATATCCACCACTTCCACCACCAGCTCCATAACCACCACCATAAGGACTACCAGACCTTCTTCCACCAAAACTGCCCCTTTCATGGGTCCGTAATTTGATTGCTGTCGACCACTATAATTTCCAAAGTCATTCTAGTTTCTACCACCACCATAGTTACCACCACCAGAGTTTCTTCCTTCATTGTAACCATCATCTCCTCCTCCTCCACCATATCCACCACCCTGATTTCCGTATCCTGGTCCACCACCAGCATGGCCTCCTCTACTGCTGTAACCAGGACCACTGCCATAGTTTCCCCCATCACCTCCTCCGTAACTACCTCTGCTGCCACCACCTCCACCACCATAGCTTCCTCTTCCACAAAGTTTCCACCACGGCCAAATTCCCTCCACCACCTCGAAAGTTTCCTCCACGATGCATAAAGTTGCCAGATCCACCTCCACAACCTCTTTGTGATCCAGCAGACTGCATCTCTCGTTTAGAAAGGGCCTTTTTCACTTCACGATTATGCCCATTAATAGTGTGGTATTTCTGAACAACAATTTTATCAACTGTGTCGTGATCATCAAAAGTTACAAAAGTAAGTCCTCTCTCTTTCCCACTCTGCCCATCTTCCATAATTTCTATGGTTTCAATCTTGCCATACTTTTCAAAGTAGTCTCTCAAAGTATATTCTTCTGTATCTTCTTTAATACCGCCAACAAAGATTTTCTTCACTGTTAGATGGGCACCAGGCTTTACTGAATCCTCTCTAGAAACAGCTCTTTGGTTCCACTACAGCCCATCAACTTTGTGTGGTCGAGCACACATTGCTGCATCCGCCTCTTCAACACAGGAATAAGTCACAAAACCAAAGCCCCTGGAGCGTTTTGTTTGGAGATCTCTCATTACCACACAATCTGTGAGTGTGCCCCATTTCTCAAAATGTTCTCTTAAGCTATCATCTGTAGTTTTGAAGCTCAGACCACCAATAAACAGCTTCCTCAACTGCTCTGGTTCCTTTGGATCATGGCCCTCCTTCCCCTGGCGGCGGGGGCGACAGGGCAGGGTTTTACCTCCATTTTGAGATAAAGACAATTTTTTAAAAATTCCCAATCAATAGATGGGCAAGTAAATTAAATGCAGAGTTTGAAAAAACAGAGGTATAAATGCCAACGGCCAATAAGTGTATGAAAATGTGCAATATCTAGCTACCAAGGAAATGCAAACCAAAACTACACTGAGATTCCACCTCACCCTGGTTAGAGTGGCTGTCATCAAGTATACAAAAAACTGATCAAGACAGAGAGTTTCCACCTGGCCTCAGCTTTGTAAACTTTACTGTCTTTTTTGTCTTCTTTGTCTTATTCTTTAAGTTTCTTGATGTCTCACCACTGTCGATTCTCACTCCTTGAACCCTCCAGCCATGCGGGCCGTGGTATTTAATGAAAATAGATACTCATAAAAATAAACGATAAATTTATTAAAAGAGAAAAAAGTATACAAAAACTGCTGGTGGCGGTGCAGAGAAAAGGGATCTATGCTGTAGGTGCAAATATGACCAGTGCAACCACCATGGAAACCAGTGTAGCGATTACCAAGAAGACTAAAAATATACACCATTTAATCCAGCTACACCATCCCTTAGCATAGTTCCAAAGTACTTAAGGGCAGCACACTGCGGGACATGGTGTGCCTGTATCTACAGCTGTGCAGTTCATAACAGCTGAGACCTGGAAGCAGCCTAGATGCCCATCCAGGGGTGAATGTGATAGATAATAACTCCCAAACTGCTGGAGATTGGAAACGCGACTTCATGTTCTCTGAAATCAAAGAATGAATTCTAGGAACGAGATTTAGCTCAGTGGTTTCGTCGCCTGCTGTGCAAGCACAAGGACTCAAGTTTGATCCCCGGTTCCAAAAAAAAAAAAAAAAAGACTTTAGTATGGTGCAGAGCACACAGTAAATGTTAAAAGGGCCAGGGATTTATCTCAGTGTTTCTGATGCCTGCCTCCAAAGTGCAAGGCAAAAAAAAAAGAGAAAGAATTGTAGGAACGATGGAGGTTAAGAGAAGGAAACATTTATTGAGGGAAAGACAGCTTCTGTCTAAGAGAGATAGAAGGGGGACTGGAAAGTGGGTTCCCTGCCCACCCTGCTTCTCAAAGTTTTATGGGACAAAGCCATGAGGTGAGGCGGGTACAAAGTGTAACAAAACTATAGTCAACTAGTAAGATTGCAAGTACAGTCGCTGAGGTAAGATTGGTCCAATGAGAAATCACAAGCTAGACATGAGATGGGACAAATGATCAACCAATTAGATTACAAGAAGTACAGTTGCGGGCCGGGGACTTAGCTCAGTGGTTCTGTCACTTGCCTTGCAAGCTCAAGGACCCGAGTTCGATCCCCGCTACCAAAAAAAAAAGAAAACAAGTACAGTCACTTAGGATGGGGATCAAATGGGGAAGCACCTTACACAGCAAGGCTACAGGGACCGAACAGAGGAACAAGGATTTTCGGTAAGGGATGGGTCAGGGACCATCTGGTCTATGCTGTTCTCCCTCTTTTTTTTTTTTCTTACTTTAGCTTTATTTTATTCTTCTTTTTCCAGCTTCTTGAGGTGAAAGATCCAATTATTGATTTTTATATCACTTTTCTTTTCTAATATAGCCATTGAAGTTATGAATTCCCCTCTGAGCAATGCTTCAGTTTCATCAAGTACATTCTGATGTTTTCATTTTCATTCAGTTCAAGACATTTTCTACTTCCTAGCTGGGTGTGGTGGCACACATCTGTAATCCTAGCACTCAAGAAGCCAAGGCAGGAGGCTTGCTACACTTGGAGGCCAGCCTGGCCTACATAGCAAGACCTTGTCTCAAAAACACAAACAAATTAAAAATAAAGTACTTTTTGTATGGCTTTATTACTTCTAATTTATTTTTTTGTTTGTTTTGGTTTTTTTGGTACCAGGGATCGAACTTGGGTCCTTGCGCTTGCAAGGCAAGCGATGGAACCACTGAGCTAAATCCCTGGCCCTACTTCTAATTTATTGACAGTTATTTTATGGCCTATCTTTTACAGGATTTCATGTGCACTTGAAAATAATATATACTCTTTTTAAGTGTAAAGTTGTTGGATAGTGTTGTTCAAACTTAAGTATTCTATCAACAGTGAGAGAGGGGACAAAGGCTTCCAACTGTAATTGTTGAATTGTCTACTTCTTACAACTCATTTTTTACTTCAAGTATTTGGGGGCTCTGTGGTTAGATACCTATACATTTATAATTTTTGTATCTCCCTGATGTAGTGATCTTTTATCATTATGAAATGTTCTTCGATGTCCCTTACCTTCTTTTTTTTCTTTTAGGGGTGGCAAAGGGGTGGTTTTTTTGAGACAGGATCTCACTATATAGTTCAAGAGGGCTACTCACTAGCCACTCACTCATCCTCCTGCCTCAGCCTCCTAAATGCTGAGATTACCAGCATGTATCACCATGACCAGCATCCTTACTTCCTTTTTCTTTTTTCTTTTTAAAAAAACTATTATATCTAAAAGAGATAACAAAAATAAAAACTATTATATCTAAGCAGATAATATAGCCATGTTATCTTATGGTTACTCTTTGCATGGTATTTTTTTCTGTCCTTTTGTTTCCAATCTATTTGTGTATTTTATTTTATTTTATTTTATATCCTTTTATTGGTACATTTTAGGTGTACAATATAATGACATCATTAGAGATATGCACCTTTACATAATCTCTCTTGATTCTTATTTTTCCCCCTTCCCCTGCCATCCCTTCAACCCCATCCCTCCCTCCCTATTTACAAAGACTTTGTTTCCATTTTTTTCATTTTCTCATAGTAATTCCATTTATTTGTGTATTTTAATCTAAATCGTGTACCTCATGGACAGCAGATTTTTTTTTTTAATCTAGCCAGATAATCCTCTGCTGGCTGACTGGAGTTTAACCTGTTCATCTGCGTCTGCCATTTTGATTCTTTTGTGGGGACAGGGTCTCACTATGTCGCTCAGGTTGGCCTTGAACTCATGGTGACCTTGCTCCCTCAGCCTCCTGAGTGCTGGGACTACAGGTGTGCGCCACAATGTCCAACTCTTATTTTTGATTTTTTAAATGTCTCACGTTTTTCACGTTCCCTGATACTGGGTCCTAGGCTGACTGTGCTCCGAAATAGCTCCACTTCCTGTCTTTCTTCTGTGCCAGTATTGTGAGATACATGATCTCTTTATGAGATATATTCCATCTGCATGTGTTATAAACCTAATAATAAGATGTTATTAATAATCATGGTGTTTTGAAGGAGGCTAAGAGAAGAAGGTGCTGGCACACACGGGGTTTTTGTTTTGTTTTTTGTTTGGTGTTTTTGAGACACGGTCTCACTCTATAGCCTATGTTGGCTTGAATTCACAGGGACCCTCCTGCTTCAGTCCACCACTCCCACCTTTATTTTTCATTTTGAGACTGGGCCTCTCTTAGTCACTAAGTTCCCCAGGCTGGGCTCGAACTTGGTTTCCCCTGACCAGTCTCCCAGACGGTGGGATTGCCGGTCCGCACCACCATCCCTAGCCAGACATTACGTGTATTTACGATTTCTAGTGTCTTCCTCTGTCCTGGGAAACGAGTTATCATGCGGGGTCACTTCCTTCCGGTCTGAAAGACACCTTTCTTCCTCCTTGCAGTGCACACCTGTTTACAACAGATTCTCTTTATGTTCATCTGCAAACATCTACTTTGCTTTTAAAAGTGAAGGGGAATATCAAAAACTTTATTGGTTTCGAGGCGTGGTGGTGAACACCTGTAATCCCAGCACTCGGGAGGCTGAGGCAGGAAGCTGCTGGACGTTCGAGTCCAGCCTGGACTACATAGTGAGACCCTGTCTCAAAACAAACCTCACTTGGCCTGGCACCGATTTAAACCGACCTATCAAAGACTCGCTTGGTTTCGCCAGATGTGGATGAAGAACTGAAAACAGCGCTGTTCTGATTGGTTTCCAGCGCAGCTCTCAGCAGCCGCAGAGGCGCCCGGGCGTGTTCTGCGCATGCGCCCTGGGTCTCCGAGGCTTGGCGGACTCGGCCCAGCGCCAGGGTCCGACCTCCGCTCCCTCCCGGAATTCCTTATGGTTGCCGGGGTGACGCCTCTTTTTCTTCTCGCCGCTTTCTGTGGAGAGGGGCTCAGGCTGGCCCGCTGGGGCTGCAGCTCGCCGCTTCCTGGGGTGTGCTGGTCGCTTCTCTCGTTGCTGAGACAGAATGCCCGGCACCAGAGCTGGGCCGAGTTTACTGGGCTCACAGTCGGAGGTTGCGGCCGGGTCCGGCGGGCGCGGAAGCAGCAAGGGGCCTAACGGCGCTCTCTGCCCTGGTGGTCAGGGCGGCGCCGGGCCAGTCGCTCGGTGGGTTAGTAATCGCACGCCCCACGGGGCCGCTTCGGAAAAGCGCGAGGCTGAAGGCCGACAGACCGCGGGCTGGGCGGCGCCCGGCCGAGGCCGCCGGCGGGAGGAGCGCGGCGGGCGGGCGGCAGAGCCTGGGCTGCGGGCTGGAGGTGGAGCGCCACCTGGCGCCGAGCGTGCGAACTGCTGTTAGGGTGAGGAGGGGCAGCCAGAGCTGAGAAGGAGCGGGCCGAAAGTTTCGACGGTTCTTAAAGGTGCGGCCGGGGATGTAGCTCCGTGGTTCCGCCGCCTGCCTCGCAAGCGCAAGGTCTCGAGTTCGATCCCCGGTACCAAAAAAAAAATAAGTGCAGGATGACAGGTCAGCAATTAGAGACACCTTTTCGGGTGTTGCTATTTGGAGAAGTTTTCTAAGGGATTTTATTTCCCTGCTTCCTCTGGAGAGGAAGCCTAGTGAAGAGGGATTTTAGATAAACTAACAGGAGCCTGAGAGCCAGAGCCTAGCAAGACCACCCACACCATGGGTCCAGTCAAAAGCCTGAGCCCTGGCACAGGTGCGCGTCCAAGCTGCGGTGGGTGGGGGTCTTCATTACTCCACTTCCCCCACCCTGAGAACCGGTGCCCTGCTATTTGACGAGGAGCCTCGGATCTTCCAGAGGGCCACAGGAGTAACTTCCTTCGTTTGCGTGGTCCTTTGCCTCAGACAGTTCGGGTGGGGCTGGCTTTATCCTGAAAGGTGAGTGCACCCCGGGTTCCTGCCACCTTTACTTCAGTGGGTACCAAGGCTCACTGAAAAGGCCTCGGTTGTGGTTCTACTTGGTCTGTGGGGGTTCTTTTTTTATGGGGTTTTTTTCCAGTACCGGGGATCGAACTCGGGACCTTGGGGGCCGGGGATTTAGCTCAGTGGTTCTGGCGCCTGCCTTGCAAGGGCAAGGTCCCGAATTCGATCCCCAGTACAAAAAGAAAAGAAAAAATATAAAGTTTAAATATTTCCAACGAACTCAGGACCTTGGGCTTGCCAGGCAGCCGTCGCACCAAGTTTTTGTTCGTTTGTTTTTGGTCCTGGGGATCGAACTCGGGACCTTGCCCTTGCGAGGCAGGAGGAGAAACCACTGAGCTAAACCTGTGGCCCTCCAAGTTTTGTTTTAATGAGCACTTGTACTTGGCTTGGATTAATTATATACTGTAGAAGTCTTGTGGCCTTTGGGTCCACATAGAAAAAGGCTCCTTGCCAGTGTAGTGCTGCACACCTGTACTCCCAGCACTTGGGAGCCTGAGGCAGGAGGATCACTTGGAGTTGAAGGCCAGCCTGAGCTACATAGTGAGTTCAAGGCCAACATGCACTGTATAGGGAGACCCTGTCTCAAAAACACAAAAGTGTCCTCAGTGTCAGCACGTCAGCCCTGGCATGCTAGCCTCTATAAAAAGGAATGATTATGATAAATATGTTTCTAGTATACAAAAAAATCATAGGAGTATTGATGGCATTGCCTGGGGCAACGTTAAGAAAAAAAAGAGTTGAAACTGTTTCCTCAAGCCCAACAAGAAAAACGCTGTTTAACAGAGATTTAGGAGAAAACTCTGGTATTGGAAAACTTTTCACTAATGCTATGGAATCTTTAGATGAAGAAGAGAAAGATTATTATTTTTCAAACTCTGATTCTGCGTAGAAAAATGTGATTTCCAGGACTTTCACAAAAAAGCAGATGGTGTATTTATCTACATTTAGAAAGTATTTATGTATTTTCTTTATGATGTAGGTTCATATGGAAATGTCGATTCTTTTTTCAAAGGTTTCATGTTTGCAATGGAAAGTAAAATATACTAAAATATTCCCCATTGCTGCATCTTACCAAAAATGTAAGGAAAATTGTTTTGTGCAGACATTTGTAAATATGGTTTGTAATATTAAAATATATATAGTTAACTCTTAAAAAAAACAAATAAATACAGTACAATTTTAAAAAAACTGGAGCTCTTTCCCGGATTTAGCCTGGATTTTCCCTTGGATAACAGATGTGCTTAAAGCACCACCAACCGTGACAGCCAGATTAGCTTGCCTTTTTTCTGGATTCCTCTCCTTTTTATCCTCCAGGTCTTGTTTGTTTTGTTTTTAGTTTTTTGAGACAGGGTCTCACTATGTAGTTCAGGCTGGCCTTGAACTCACCACAGTCCTCCTGCCTCAGCTTCCCCAGTGCTGAGATTACAGGCATGCGCCATCACACTAGGCAAGGTCCTGATTGTTGAAGACAGAAAAGGCTGTGTCCAGCAAGTAGGTCAAAGGGGTCTGGGACCTATCTGAAGGTTTTGTACTTTGCACAAAATCTCTGGCTGGATTTTCCTCTTTGCCCTGTGTAACCTGCCTTACTTTTTCATAATTAACAGGTTTCTTGTTTGATTGTTGTTGTTTTGTTTTCCTTTGCTTTTTTGAGATAGGGTCCTCTATGTAGCTCAGGCCGGCCTTGAACTCACTGTGTAGCCCAGGCTGACTTCAAACTTGCAGTGATCCTCCTGCTTCAGCCTCCTGAGTGCTGGGATTACAGGTGTGCACCACCACACCCAGTCTAACAGGTTTCTCAACACATCTTTCTGCTCCCACGGTAAGAGCAGTCATCATTTTAGACTACATGCTTGCTTCAGCCGAGTACCGTCATCCCGTTGGGCTCTGTCAGAGGGACAGTAACCTCTCCAGTGACTCTCTCAGCAGCAATTGCTCACCTGTATCTCTCCTGGCCTCTGCTAGGACTCTGCTTTTCATCATGGCTACAGCAAGTGGTGAGACAAACTGGACGTCTCCGCCGTGTGAGAGGTCAGAGCAAGGGTCAAAGTCAGAAACCCATCTGCAAACCTCCGGGGTCTCCTGAAGTCGGCCTGAGTGCCTTGCCTTGTTTGTGTCTGTACTGGAAAAGGGCCCTGGAGCCGGAACCCCTCCTTGGGACTCTCCAAGAGGCCGAGCACTGTGAGTTGAAGGAGTGGGAAACTCCACCCCGCCTGTGTCCTTCCTGGATCAGAGCTGACTGGGGGGCTGAAGCTGAGGTTTCTGAGGCACTTGGGGAGGGTGGCCTGGTTTCCTAGGCTAAGGAGACTCCCGGTGTGGCTGCTTCTGTAAACACATGGGGGCTGAGAAGGGGCCTCAGTGACTTCAGTCTCCTCTCTGGGCTTCTTCAAGTGCCACACCTGGGCCTTCGCAGAAAGCAGTTGCTGATAAAGAGCCATGAGAGCCTGAGCACAAGGAATTTCACGCCAGTGTCCCTGCCTTTTGCAGAATAGATCTAGCTGAAGAACAGTGCTGTGATTTAGATGAATTCTGTACCCATCTGTCACCATTTCTGAGTTCATACCGCACCAAACAGTTCTGCAATAGGAGATGAGCGTTTTTTTCTCTCAGATAGTCAGGGTCCATTTATTTCCACTTTGAAGGGTGGAGCCTCATGATGAGGTTGCTGGGATCGCAGGGTGTTTCCTGTGGGGCTTCTGGGGCCTCTGGGCTGGCTCACCAAGAAATGCTACCACATGTGGGTCCCAGGGAAATTCCTTCCAGGTTCTTGGTGTCTTGGACAAGACACAGGGAAAACGTAGTGGAGATGTACATTTATTGAAGGTGGGAAAGAAGTTCACTCTGCAGAGTGAAACCGAGCTAGTGAACAGACTCACAGTGGCCAAAAAAGTAAAATTCCGAGACAGTCTCACTAAATTCCCCAGCTGACCTCAAACTTGCAATCCTCCTGCTTCAGCCTTCCCAGTAGCTAGGATTACGGTATGTGTCACAGTTCCTGACTTCATTTGACTCTTTTTTTATGGCTTCCATTTCTCTACTACGTATTAATTGAATAATTATAAAATGTTTTTCTTTGTATCATTAAACATATTTATTAAATCTGCTTTGAAATCCTTGTCTGCTAATTCAACATCTGGGCCTCCGCAGGGGCTTTTTATTGTTGTTTTGTGGTGGTGGTGGTGGTACTGGTGATTGAACCCCAGGCACTTTACAGTGAGGTAATCTTTGCCCTTTTTTGTTTATTTTGAGACACAGTCTCACTAAATTGCCCAGGCTGGGCTTCCATTTGTAATCTTTCTGCCTGTGCCCTTCAGCATGCTGTGAATACAGATAGGCACCGGCACATCCACAGTCAAATTTGTGTATTTGTTTTTTAGTTGAGTTTTGACTTGGTTTGAGACAGGGTCTCACTGTGTAGTTCAGGCTGTGTAGCCCAGGGTTGCCTTGAGCTTGCAGTGATCCTCCTGCCTCAGCCTCCCCAGTGCTCTGATTACAGGTATGTGCCAGCATGCCCGCCACCTTCAGTGTTTTGAAAGCACTGTGCCATTATCATATTTTTTCCTTTGCTTTCTTCCTCTCCTGCTTTCTGAGGTGGGATCTTGTTATGGCTCAAGCTGGCTTTAAACTCTGGGGCTCACATGATGCTCCTGCCTCTGCCTCCAAGAACCTGAGACTACAGGTGTATGCCTCTGTGCCCAGCTCTTAACCTTCACATTTAATTGACAAAAAGTATGTGTTTATCGTGTACAGCATATTTTTTTGTCATGTATGCATTGTGGAATAGCTAAAGCAAGCTAATCAACACATTACTTCATATACTTTTTTTTGTGGTGAGAGCATTTAAAATCTATACTCTTAGTGAACAAAACAAAACAAAACTTTTTTTTTTCCAGGATGGGGAATCAAACTCAGGACCTTGAGAGGCATGTGCGCCGGCACTGAGCTACATCCCCGGCCCAGGCCCTTTCTTTTTTTGTGCTGGAGATTGAGTCCCAGGAGTGCTGAGCTATACCCTCAGCCTTTTAATTTTTTCATTTGGAAAGTGTTGCTTCATTGCTCAGGCTGGATTTCAGTGATCCTCCCGCCTCAGGCTAGCAGAGAGCTCATGGTGATCTTCCTGCCTCAGCCTCCATAGTGCTGGAATTACAGGCCATGGCCACCACCCTGGCTTCTCCCAGCAAATTATAAGGACACGATACACTGTTACTAACTATAGTCACTATGTTGTACAACACATCTCTAGAGTTCATTTCTCCTATCTAGCTGCAATATTTTTTCTTTTTTTTTTTTTTTTTGGTACTAGGTATCGAACTCGGGTCCTTGCGCTTGCGCAGCAGGCAGCGAAACCACTGAGCTAAATCCCCAGCCCTAGCTGCAATTTTGTATCCTTTGACCAACTTTTTTTTTTGGTACCAAGATCGAACTCGGGACTTTGTGCTTGCAAGGCAGGCGGCAGAACCACTGAGCTAAATCCCTGGCCCAAAACACCTTTTTTCTAAAATAAAAAAATAAAAGTGTGATATAGATCCCAGAACTCTGGGAGGCTGAGACAGGAGGATCACAAGTTTGAGCCCAGTGTGGACCATTTAACAACTTAATGAGACTGTCTCAAAAAATAAAAAGGACTGGGAATGCAGCTCAGTACGTTAGTGTGAAGATCCTGGGCTCAGTTCCTAGCACTGTAAACAAAACAGAAAAAGTGTGATAAATGAAAGAGAAAACAAAGATCCAGCACAGGTGGATTTGTAAATTTTTGGGGAGGGGGGGTACCGAGGATCAAACTCAGGACCTTACATTTGTGAGGCAGGCAGCAGCACCACTGAACTAAATCCCCGTCAATTTGTAAATATTTATATGACCGTGAATACATTTTTCCAAATGGAAAAGAACAAAATTAGTCCTGTGACTCGTATCATACAAAGATAAATTCAAGAGAACTTAAAAAAACCTATGAAGAAAAACCGTAAAACTTCTATCAGATAGGGAGGAGAGCACCCTTTCCTCCTTGGATTAGAAAAGATTTGTTAAGACAGAAAACAGAAATGTAGCTGATTGACAGCTTCTGTTCACCAAGACAGAGTAAGTTTCCTGCCTTTGTCAGCGGCTCCTGTAACGCCTCTGCAGAAGATCTCTTCATCATCGTGTGGTTTTGAGAAACCGGATGTAAACCAATGTGGAAAGTTTGCCACTCCTCACAGCAGTGCTAAAACAATCTTACAGGCGGACTTCAAACTTCCTGTGTAGCCCTGGGCATCTGGCCTCAAACTCTCCATCTTCCTGCCTCAGCTTACCTGGAGTTCTGGGGTTGTGGTTCTGTGCACCACCACACCCGGCTCTGCTGCTCTGCAAATAACTGTTAAGGAGAAAAAAGATCTAGTAATGTTTGTGCTAGTTATACTTCCCTAACAGACATGAAAATAAAACAGCCAGTAAGTTAGAAAATATTTGCCCAAATACTTTTTCAGATTGTCTATCAAGTCAGTGGTCCCGGAGTTAGAGAACAAGTTGTCCCCTACTTCCACCTAAATACCCTTTCGGGGAATACCATGTATCCCTGTCTAGAAATGTAACTGAAATTATCTCTAGTTGTCTTCACAGTAAGAAAACTGGTGGGGGGGCAGGGTTTCACTATGTAGTTCAGAGGCAGGCCTTGAACTTGCAGCAGTCCTCCTGCCTCAGTCTCCTGAGTGTTCAGATTATAGGCATACACCAAGGAATATCATTTTCTACTGGTGACTGACTCCCATTTATCAAATCAAGTTTTTGAAGTGGAACAAAAAATTAAAAATTAAAGAGAAGATTATAAACCAAGATAATGGGAGAAGCCCTGGATGGCTCTGAAAAGTGAAACAGCCTTAACAAAACCAAGACAAGACTCTTAGCCTAAATAGAGGTTTTATTGGTCAGCCTGATGAGTGACAGACTGGCACAGTCCCAGTCCCCTGCTCCGCACTCCCAGCCCAAGGTGGCAGAAGACACAGTTTGTGACCGAGGCCATGAGTGGGAAGTGGGGAGGACCCGAAGGGCTCTGCAGTTTAAGGCTACCGGGACCGGAACCAGCGTCCCAAGAACAGATCCAGGATAGAAAAAGCATCGTCCAGAGTGGGAGGTCTTGGCGATTCTGGATCTAAGGAAGAAAAGCAGACACACAGCTGGCTGAAGTGAAACAGACCAGGCAGAGGCAAGGGAAGGAATATTAAAGGGCACAAAAGCAACAGTCCGCGGTGCCCAGTTTAGGGACGGCTGTGGGTCCGTGCTCTTCTCTTACCAGCTCCAGGACTGCTTTCTGCTTCCTGACGGGTCACGGTGGTCTCCCGCCGGCCCTCGCTGTCCACCACAGTCCGGCGCTCCTCCACTACCTGCAAGCAGAGCCCCACCATGTCCCTAACGCCACTAAAGCTGACTTCAGCAGGTTCTTTCTTGGAAACGCTGGGGATTAACCAGGGCTTCAGCCATGCTAGGTAAGCACCCACCACTGAGCTACAGTCCCAGCCCTTTTTGCTTATTTTTACTTTGAGACAGGGTCTCGTTAAGTTGTCCAAGCTGGCCTCAAACTTGAAATCCTCTTGCCTCAGCCTCAGAGGACTGGGACTCCAGGTGGCACCACACCAGCTAAGTGGTGGCTTCTTTGCACGAGGCCCTCTTTCCCCAGCACCCCTCTCCCCACCTCACCCCGTCCGGCTTAGTGATCTTGGTCACAGAGATACTCTTGAAGTAGGATCTGGGCTGGGGCTGTAGAACTGGGCCAAGACCCTCCTGGGAAACCTGGGAATCAAGATCTGGAAGGGCAGAGAAATTAAGAACTAGTTGAGTCTAAGGGGAAAAAGACGTCAAGGAGCGAGAACAGGCGCAACTTCAGGGTGTAGACACCCTCCCCCGTGACTCACCTTTGTCCTCTCTGGCTCTGGGATGGGGAGTCACTGGCCATGGATCATCGAACTGCAGAAGAAGCCACAGCAGGTGAAAAGACATCTTCCAATCTGAAACTTGAAGGGTCAAAGACCTCAAACTGCTCCCAAGTTCCAAAACCCTGTTTTCCTGGGAGAATTCCATTTAGTGTAGCTCTATTTACCCAACCTCACTGCCTTCCTGAAACAATACTGTCTTGTCCTCCCAACAATCCTGCCTTATCCAAGACTCATCTGGACAAGTGGTTTGTATGTGTGGCTTTATTTGTATTTAAACAAGGAGCAGAGGGCCAGGGATTTAGCTCAGTAGTTTCGCCGCCTGTCTTGCAAGCACAAGCACCCGAGTTCGATCCCTGGTACCAAAAAAAAAAAAAAACAAAAAAAAGGAGCAGAACTCCCATTTCCCCCAAGAAAATCCTGCCAGAAGCTTAATACAGAAAACGGAATGGGATGTAGGTCAGTGTACTTGCCCAACATAAACAAGGCCATGGTCCAATCCTCAGCACAAGGAGAAAAGGAGAGAGAGGGAGAAAGAAGAGGAAGAGAAGGGTGGGTGTGGAGAAAAACGAAAGAAGAAAAAGAAGAAAGGAAACAAGTACACTAAGGAGGAATTCCAGCCCTCACCTCAGGTCGCACCCACTCTCACTTGCCCGGATGGAGCACTCACCCTAGGAAAAGGTCTCTGGGCCCCCCAGCCTGGTGCTGACTTCGGGGACTCGGGTCGTGGCTCACTCTCCAAGCCTCCCCCAAAGATCCTGGGCTGGCGACTATCCGGGTACTTCAGCATGGAGTCCCGGAGTGTGTGTCCCTCCCGCGGCCTCTCACCAGGGGCCTCGGACTCGGGACCTGGAAGTTCTGCAGAAGGCGGCAGGTGGATGCTGGGTGGGGTTTCAATCTCCTGAAATCATCCGTCTCCGCGTACTTTCCATCCCCTTCTCCTCCCGGCCCTCCCCGGGGAACCCACACACCGGGCGGGTGCAACGGCAAGGTCCAGGCCCCCATCTCGCCGAAGATGCTGTTGAAATCCTGCACCAGGTCATCAAAGCCGAAGTGACCCTGGAAGCGCGTCCCTCCGCCTGGGCCGAAGCCGAAGCCGAAGCCGAATTCCTCCGGGGGCTGGGGCCCAGCAAACCTCCGACCCCCAGGGCTCCGCGCGGCTCCTTCCTCGTCGTCGTCGTCCTCGTCGTCGTCCTCGTCCTCGTCCCGAGTCATCCCTCCAAAAAAGGGATCTCTGTGGCTGAGGTGGAGGCGGGCGGGGAACCACCGAAACGTCAGCAAGCCGAAGCCGCGTTCCAAAGCCCCGAGCGGGCAGGACGGGCCGGGCGCGCGCGCGACGGACGCCGGCCAGCGGGTACTCCGCGCCTCGCCGGGCCCCCGGGGTCCTGCTCCCCACGCCCGCACTGTCCCCGCCCGGCCCCTGCTGCACAGCCCCGGACGGGGAAAGCTGAGGCTCCTAACGCCGCCGTGGTCAGTGTCGCGGGCTGTGCGCCCAAGGTTGCGACTTCTACCTTCTCCGCAAGAGCAGCGGCAGGAGGAAAAGAAGTCTGTCCAGAACTTGGGCGAAGGGGCCAAGCTCCCCCCAAACAACCAGCCAACTCGGACTGCTCTCACCTCCGAGGTCTAGAAAAGCCGAAAAAGCCCCGGAAGAGGTCAAACAGACTCATTCCCGGAGTGGGACTCGAACCTTTGAAGCCCTCCCGCAGCCCATTCGCACCAGGGAGCAGGTTTGCGATGACGAAAGCCGAGCGACGCATCGGTCCAGGCCGCCGGAAAGCAAGCCTGCGACGCGCCACTGTCGTAAAGCGACTGTAAGCCGGAAGAGGAAGGCGGGAAGGGGGACGGACGGTGCTCCCCAAGTGGAAAGCTGTGTCTCTGCTGCACTGCCCGGCTTCACGAGAAGGGGCGGGCACCTCAAAGTCGTCTCCAGTGGCCGCCTGCACCGGAGCCGACCCTTCCCGCCGGCCCACGCTTGTCGCGCTCGCGCCGTGGTCCCCGCGGCCGCCAGAGGGCAGTGCAGCCGCACGCGCGACCCCGCGGCCGGTGACGTCGGACGCAGACGGCGCGGCGCTGCTTTCCGAGCTCTGCAAGCGCCGGGCTGCGCAGCCCCGAGGGTTCTATCCGCCGCGGACGGCTCAGGGCGGCTCTGCCCACCCTCTGCCGAGCGCCAGCGGCCCCCTGGGAAGGGGAATTCGGACCCTTTCCGGCCTGGACGAGGGGAGCCCCGTCTCCTAAGCGGGGTGCAGAGCGGACGTGGGCGTCAAAGCCCTCGCCTCGCCCGGAGCGTCTCCGCGCTCCCTTCCACGGGCTGGGCACGAAGCCCCCGGGAAGCACCGGAAGCGAGGCCGGCCCGGAGTCCGCTTCAGGGCGGAGGACCCGGCCGGGGCCGCCTCAAATTATGCTTCCTTTTCCCACGCCCGCTTCTTTGAAGTAGTTGCCGCGTCGCGTAACCCTGTCCACCCAGTCTGCACCCCTCCACCTTATGCCTGAGACCCGCTTTCTTTCCCGTAGCATGCGAAATTCTTAAGGTGAAGGGAAGGGAAGGGAATCCCAAAGGCAAGATACTAGCACATTAAGGTCAGGACTTCTTAAAGGGCAAAGATTTCATTTTATTCCACTGCCTTCGAGGCCTGCAAGAGGAAGCCCAGTTGGTTCGGGAATACTTATTCACCAAGCTGCTCACCGGCGAGGCTGAGGAAATCCTAAACGGACCAAGAATGGGCAGAGGCTGAAGGTAGAGGTTTTCTTTTTATATATACAAGACACATTAATCCATTAAATTTGAGGACACCGTACAAAAAAAAAAAACCAAAAAACACTTCAACTAATTCATCTGACAATGCTGCTCATATTCATGACACTTTTTTGTTGTTGCTCTGTTTTCCTAATAATAAAGGAGGAGACATAGGGCTGCTGGGCTGATATAGATTGGGGCCCCTCCCACCTCGCCCGTACACCGCCAGGGTGAACAGGAAGAAGTGAAGGGAGGGCAAGGCCCATAGCGAAGTTTCAGAATCTTGAGTGCAAGGGGGAGGAGGAGGAGGGGAAAGGAGAAAATACAAATCCTATAGTACATACAACAAGGTGGGGGTGGCACGGGAATGGGACAGATGTGAAGCTGAGGCATGGGTGGGCGGCTGAGGGCTGCAGGACCCCCCACGGTCCTCTCTGATGTTTCCACTCTCCGGGCTGAGAAGCCCCCTCAGAAGATGGGCCGGGAGAAGAGGGCCAGGGCCTCAGTTGGCCCCCCAGCTGTAGCTGTTGTAGGCAGACTTGTTGGCCTGGGGCTTCTGCGGGATGGAGCTGGTCTGGCTACGTTGCCCGCTGCCCGTCTGGAGGGAAATGGGAGGAGGAGGAGGAGGAGGAAGAGGTGTCTCGTTAGCGGGACAGATCTGTAACACCTTCAGATGGACGTGCAACCTGTCCTGCTGGCCCATTCCCCTGCTCACAACCTGCTGAGAAGCTTACTTCTCAACTACAAATAGTTCACCTTCCACGGCTGGTAGAGCCCCTCTTCTAAACTACAAGGAATTTTTGACATTTAAATAGGGGAAAAGGTGAAGGCAGGACTTTTGAAAATAAGAGTTCTACTCATTTTTAATTTTACTTTCTCTAACTCCTACCTGGGGAAAAAAAGGGTTCCTAGGAGAATTATCGCCTCTGGTCCCCCTAAGTGCCTCCGTTTGGAAAGCTGCCTTTGAGAGCAAGGAAGCCCTTATTCTAGCTCCTGGGCCCCCTGAAGTGGCGTGCTCCAGGGGTCCCGCACCACTCACACAGGCTGCCCACCACCGCACGTGGCGTCTGTGAGCCCTGTGACCGGGCAGGGAGGCCCACCGAGGCACCAGGCTCCAGACGCTGCCTCAAAATCTTTCCCCTGCTGATAACAAGTGCCTCCGAGTTGAGGAAAGCACAGAGATGGAGAGGGTGTTGAGGGGAGGAGGAGGAGAGGGTGGGAGGCCGGAGAGCCCAGCACGTGTCTGTTGTGTTTGTGTATCCCGACTTGTGACCACGCAGCTTTTTGAGTTCCCTGAGGCTGCGGATGTGAAGCGGACTGAAAAGGAGTGGGTGCAAGCACAGCGTCTTTCAGTTTCATTACCTGCTCCTCCTGCTGGTGCTGGCAACAGAGAATCATCTGCAAATATGGTAGCTGAGGCAGAACCAGGATATATGGAAAATAAAGGGACAAACTTTGACAAGAGAACTCCACCATCCCATCCGAAGGGAAAGCTACGTCAGGGAAGGGGCAGGCGGGAGGGGAGGGGAGAGGGAGGGTGCAACCCAGGTCTGATGGGATGAGGACAGCTGTGCCACGGGAGGTGGTGGAGGAGAAAGGCCCCCAGAAAGGGTTTTAATCTGGCTCCTCCTCGGACATTTCCTTCTCAGCCGCTCGTGTTATGTGCGCTTGTGTATGTGCTGTGTGCCCCTGGCTGGCGCTGGGAGGAGTGGGTGAGGATGATGGTGAGGAAGGGGCAGAAAAGGAAAGGGGAGGCAGTTCCGGGGCACAGGAAGGAAGAGGAAGGGAAAGGGGGGGTGTTACCTGGCCGTCCTGCTGCAGATGGTGGTGAAGGATCTGGGAGTGCGGCTGCTGATGGGGGGTCAGAATGTGCATAAAGGGGGCGGGTGGGTAGGCAGCAGCTGTGGCCGGATTGATGGGCCCCCCACTTCCTAGGGCTGAAGGCAAGTTGAAGGAGGCAGCAGGAGTACCGGAATGAAAACCTTGTTTCTCAAAGGACTGCTATCCAGGACAGGAGGAGAGAGAGCACAGGGTCAGCAAAGGCTCCTGGCAGCTTCTGGCCTGAGTCCCACCCCCCAGGAAGCAGCACGGCCATGCACGCAGTCAGGTGGTCGGATCTAAGCCCAGTCCTGCCCTTTGACAACCCTAGGCACACGGCTCCGCCTGGTAGCCGCAGCTCCCCATCCAGACTCGGGTGCTACAGACTCTGCCATAAGGCTCAAACCAGAAGCTGAGTGTGCAAGTGCCCTGCGACCTAACATCGTAAGGAGCACAGGGAGATGTGCTGGCTGTCTTGGCATGTGCCTCTGCAGCTGTGCACGTATTACAAGTCCTTGGATATTAAAAAACAATCACACACACACACTGAGGTTCCTTGAGTGTTCAAGGTCTTGGCTATGAAGCACCCCCTCCCCTGCCCAAGTCCCCTGAAACTTTACAGCAAACTTCATAGTGATGAGGGATAAAAGGAACAAAACACAGACTTGTGGATACCTTAGCAACAAATGCCTCCTGTAGGGCACTCGGTTGTCCCTTTTCCCATTCCCACGCCTTGTTATGGATTTACTCTAAGAATGGAATGAGATAGCTTCCTTTCATCCCTGCCTGTTCTCTTGGAAATGTTACCAAGAAGGTTAAGAGTGGGCCAGGGATAAGGACAGCTCACATCAGCTAGCCACACCTCACCGCACCATTTTTATTCTCCTGCTTCTCAGAGGGCTAAATTTAAACCCCCAGAAAAACCAAAGCCAGAGGAGTGAAATCTCCTTTAGAAGGCAGGATGGGTCTGACACCTCTCCTAGGGATGCTCTTGCCCCGCTGTCTTCTACCATTACAGCTCTACCTCCTGTGTCCATCTTTTTCTACTTCCATCTATAGCCAGGCACCTACCTGGGTTTTGGAGTACACAGAACCCGAGATATCTGGCACGCCCGTGTTACTGGAGGTGACTGACACACCTGGGGAGGAGGAAACAGACAGGAGGGTTAGCTCAGCTAGCTGTCTCGCTTCATGTGCCCAGGATGAAATGAGGTCTGCAGCCTTTCTAGCTGTACCACAGGGAACTCTGGTCTGTTTTTCCATCCTGAGCTAAGAACTCATGACAAAGGCTCCTTAGGGTTCTTTCGCCCTTTCCAGCTATGTGTGGATTATCTGCAACAGTGAGCTGAGCAGCTGAGGCGAGCAAGGGGATCTAACCAAACCTTTCCGCCATACAGGACACCTGTGCCACGGTCCACTTTTAATGTACTAAACTCTTAATGTCCATTTCAAGTCCATCTACCCAAACTCCACTCACTTCTCCTGAAGATGTGGGTACTTTGGCTGTGTTCTCTAAGAAAACTGGGCTCAAAACCCCTACCTCACCGCATAAGGTGAGTCCAAAGGAGCATCATAATTTCCAAGAGCTCTTTGCTCTCAGAGCCTCAGCTCACACTGCCCAGCTTTGGAGCTTCCGGGCCAGTGGGGAACCTCGTAGCTTTCAGAGATGCGTGCGTGGGTTCCCACCACTGTTTGGCCATGTCTTTGGGATATGAGGGCTGGCACAAGGATGAGTTTCCATTTACACACGCTAAACCCAGTGTGGGGAGGGAAGGAAAGAGGTGTAGGGCAAGCCATCTCCTATAGTCTGTCAGACACAAAAACCTAATGTAACTTTAGTTTACAACTTCAGCTTCTCCAAAAAATAAAACCTCTAGACCATACCCCAACTTGCACGTTTCTTATTAAAGACAAAAACCAGGAACTTGTCCTTTTTTCTGCATGCTCTCGGATCTTCCCCTTAGAGACACGCCCATCCTCTGCTGAGGAGCCCTCTGATGGTGAAGTTTTCAGAAACACGTTAGACTGACCAAATTACAAAGACGGACGGAATCCTCCATTCGCCTACAATTCAACAGCAGTCCCCCTTCAAATGCCAGAACCCAAATCCTCCCGACCAATGCCTACCACAGATAGCTTCCTAAATTGAGGCCACTGTGGAGGTCCCGAGAGCTTCCCAGCAGAAGTGGCACCTTGACCTGGAGAACCCTCCACACCAGGGAGGAGCAAATGCCAATGAAGAGAAAGAACAGAACCACAAAAGCCAAGCAAGAAAAAATACTTCCCCATCTCCAAAGTATCAACTATATATTTTGAAGACACTGAGGTAAGAAAAGGGAATGACAGAAGAATCTCTTAAGGAGCTAATGCAGGTGGGAGGGTATGTATCCCCTTCCCTT